CAGCACCACTCACCAGGTTCGTAGAGAACGAGGGGAGGTAGAGACCAGACAGGGTGCCAGAGGGAGCCGCCGGACACGGGAGGACTGTGGAGAAGCGAGACAGGACAGGACCCCCAGAGGGGTCAGCCAGAGACACTGCAACCGGTCGACTCAGCGGTGTGAGTGTGGTGCGGTCCCGAAAGAAGGAGCGAGACGCCCCAGAGTCAAGGGTGAAGGTGAGGGAGGCCGAAGCCGACGTAGTACCTGAGAGCGCAGACTCACCAGTACCTGAGGACGCAGACACACGAGCACCTAGAGCAGCAGCGTCGCAAGCACCTAGGGCAGCAGCCTCACCAGGACCTAGAGCAGCAGTCTCAATGCCCGGATCGGGCGGGAAACACCGGTAACAGTCACCCTCATCACTAATAGACACAGTATACATGGCAGAGAGAATAGCATCAAAGTCAAGATCATAGATGGCAACACCCGCCCTAGACAGCTCGCCCCAGCGAGGGATCTCGGAGGCCTCCGGGAACTGGTGACGCCACGCGTCCGTCAGGCGGCCAAAGCAGCGCTGGGTGGGGTGGGCACCCCCACACTGCTCACCGGCACGGTCGCCAGTGCGCAAAACGTAGGAGCACGGACCAAAACCCCCACCCCGCTGACGCGCAGTGTACCACTCACGAAGCTGCTGAGGGGACAGGGTGTCACGACCACGCTGCTGCTGCTGGCGCGAGCCACCACCGGAGCCACTCCTCTGCGAAGACCCGCGACCAGCACCACCGCCACCCCCGCCGCTGCCGACGCCTCCGCCGCCTCCGCTACTGCCGCCGCCTCCGCCTCCGCCTCCGCCTCCACCGCCGCCACCTCCGCCACCTCCGCTCCCACCGCCACCGCCGCCGCCACCTCCACCTCCACTGCCGCCACCGACCCCTCCACCCCCACCTCCACTCCCACCGCCACCCCCACTCCCCCAACTGCCGCCACCTCCACCTCCACCGCCCCCGCTCGCTCCTCCAGCGCCCTTGCCCCCCTTGCCCTTGCCAGAGCGGCGTCTCCCGCTAGGGGCAGACGCCGCACCGACCGACTCAAGACCAAGGAGGTCGGCCGCAGCAGCAGAGGCAACAGAGGGCAGAAGGGGGGAGGGGGAACACCCCTCAAAGATGGGGGTGCGCGGGTCACCACGAGAGGCCCCTACAGCGACTATGCTCTTCTCGGCCGCTAGGAGGGACTTCTCGAGGAGGTCAACAGTGAGAGTGGTGGGACAGACAGAGAGAAAGTGGTCCCTGACTACGCGAAGGGAGTCAGGAAGGCGAGTGACGATGTAGTAAAGAGTGATGTACATGGGGGGGGGGTTCTTGGCGCAGAAGTCAGGAGGGAGTGCAGCGCGGTAGCGAGTGTCACTAGTGCGGAGGTGCGTAATGAGGTCAGCGACTGTGGGAAAGGCAGCAAGGTCAGGAAAGAGGTACGGTAGCATGAGACGGCTCAGTGCAGCAGTGGCAGGGGAGGAGTAGCGTGCAACTACAGCGTCGTACAAGGTCTGAGCACTCTTGTACTGACTAAAGTGCGCACGCTCGGAGGTAGGGAGGTGGCGACGCACAGCAAGACGTGCAGCAGCGTCGCGCGTGGCCCACTGGGAGCGAACAGTGGCGTCAGCATCAGCAGCAGGGGCAGTGGAGGCGCCAGAGGTGAGGTCAAAGAGAGAGAGGCCGTCTGCCCTATCGCACTGTAAGAACAGCTGCAGGTCATCTACCCAGACCTCAAAGTCAATGGCCCGACCCTCAGCGTCAAAGGCGAGAACACTAGGGGTAGCCATGACCCTAGACGACTAGCGGCGCAAACAGTAGGGTGAGGACAGTGCAGTGAAAAGGCGCTGTGCTCACCAGACTGGGCAGGTCGGGCGGCCCGGAAGGAGGGCGGCGCGGCTGCTCGGCGGCTCAGCTGCTGGGCGGCTCGGCGGCTCGGCGGCTCCGCTGCTGGGCGGCTCGGCTGCTGGGCGGCTCGGCTGCTGGGCGGCGCGGTTGCTGGGCGGCTCGGCTGCTGGGCGGCGCGTCTGCTGGGCGGCTCGGCTGCTGGGCGGCTCGGCTGCTGGGCGGCTCGGCTGCTGGGCGGCTCGGCGGCTCTGCGGCTCGGCTGCTCGGCTGCTGGGCTGCTGGGCGGCTCGGCTGTGCTGCTGCAGGGCGGCGCGGCGAGGCAGCAGGTGATGGGGCCGCAGGTAAGGGCGGCGGGGCCGCTGGTAAGGGCGGCGTGGCCGCGGGTAGGGTGGCGGTGCCGCAGGTAAGGCGGCGGGGCCGCGGGTAGGGTGGCGGGGCCGCGGGTAGGGTGGCGGGGCCGCAGGTAAGGTGGCGGGGCCGCAGCAGAGGGCGGCGGGGCCGCAGGTAAGGTGGCGGGGCCGCGGGTAGGGTGGCGGGGCCGCAGGTAAGGTGGCGGGGCCGCAGGTAAGGTGGCGGGGCCGCAGGTAAGGGCGGCGTGCCCGCTGGAAGGTGGCAGGGCCGCAGGTGAGGGCGGCACAAGGGGCCGCGGAGGTCGGCAGCGTGCCGTAAGGGCGGCACGCGACGCCGCGAAGGGCGGCGACGAGCCGTCACGGGCGGCGCAAGGGCGGCGACGGGCCGCTTAGGGTGGCGACGGGCCGCGAAGGGCGGCGACGGGCCGAGTAAGGGCGGCGCAAGGGAGGCCGCGAGGGGCGACGCGACAGTAGAGAGGGCACACGAGGCGCGACTCGGGCCTAAACTGAGCGCGCTCCGGGCAGAAAAAAAAAAATTTCGACTTGGTGGGCCCTAGGAACAGTTCCCACGAGGGAACCTGCTCGATACCATGAGAAGAAACGAGAATGGATGAACTATGAAATGAAGTGAGTACAAATATGAAACCCTAATTGGTTGTACCCCCTATGGGATACCCCACTATAGCCTACACAACAGCATAAGCTATAATGTTCTGACAGGGGACGCGCGGCCCCCGTGACGCCACGACGGGCGACGGGAGAGGGCGCCGCGGGGACCCCCGGGGCACCGCGACGGGCAACGGGAGAGGGCGCCACGACGGGCGACGAAACCGCCGTGCGCGCCCGGGGCGCACGGCGGGCAGAAAACCGCCGCGCGCCACGAGCGCGCGGCGTGATGAAAAAGTGTCGCGCGACCAGCAGAACAGTAGCAGCGGAAGCAGTAGGCGGGCCCACAGGCCAGGAGCGTAAATGCTCTGAAACCATGTCAGAACAGTAGCGAGAATGAGGAGCCATAGCTAGGGTTTACCTAGCTAGGCAAGAGAGAAATGAGCAAAGGAGGATTGGACTAGCAACAGTTGGGATACAAATAGGAAACCCTAAGGGGCCGTACTCACTATAGAGTACCCCACTGCAGGCTAGGCGAGCATTATAATCTGACACTCGAGTCCCTCACCCCTCCTGCAAACCCCCACCCACCCCCCCCCCCCCTCGAGTCTCTCGTTCCTCGACTGTACAGTACCAGGAACCTCCCCGAAGTCCCTCGCTCCTCTAGCAGTCCAGCCCCCCCGCAGTCAACCTCGCTCCTCTACCAGTCAACACCCCCCCCCCCCCCCCCCCCCCCCCCCTCTCCCCCAGTCCCTCGATCCTCTCCCAGCCCCAGTTCATTCCCCCTGGTCGTCGCACAAATTCAACAGAACACGGTCCTCCCCCTGTACCAGTCCCCCTCGCCACCTGGCTGGTCACGCCTGTCATGTTAGTCAGCGACTTATTCATTTCATACTTAGTGAACTCAGATTTCTACCGTATTATGGCCGGCCAGTGTAGAGTGCAATCAGACCATGCAACAAAAATCGTCTTAAAAAACAGACATAGCTCCAACTTTCATCTGAAAAAACAGACCAAAAAAATTTGCCCGTCTGAAGGTCAGACGAAACGTTTTTTTTTGGGGGGGATGTCAGACGGGCCTGAATCCTAGCAAGAGCCCTGTTGCCAGTGCGCCAGGCACTGAGTACTTGTGTTTGCATTGCTGAAGTAGTTATATGGACTGTTATATGAGAAAGTAATGAGTTAGACCAATTGCAATACAAACAGCCTAACAACAATTCTACCCTGGTACTATCAGTGTAACGGAATTTTTAGGCTGTTTTAGGCTGCTGGCATCAGGGTACGGAATTTTTTACCCTAAGGGTCAGGGTACGGGGGGCCTGGTACCCTGATTTGCAAGAGTGGACCTAAACCTATTTTGGGTCCTGGTGCTAAGTAAGACATTTATGAGATGAATTGTTGGGAACTACCGAGGCATGATGCGTTTATGATGGTTGGGATGAAAGTGCAGGCTGCCAGTCTGGTGTGTCAGAATGGTTGCAAGCAATGAGGGTGTGGGAAGCCCTCGTTTGCATGTCCTTGGGATATGGGCTGCTGTGCTTGCTGCGGGTCATTCACCTTGCGCAGCAGTGGCTGGTAATGACCATACTCTACGTCTTGCTCAGCCCAGCTTGAAGAAAACCAAACAACAATGACTGCATTCCTCACTCTTTTTCCTTCAGACATTTCCCATACTTTTCTCACTCCCCCTTTACCGTTTCTTGCACTTTCTTAACTCACTTGCTCTTCACAGGTCTAAAGTGCATTTCTATGAGCATGCGTCAGAACATTCAGGGGCGCGAGCTGCATGCCAATGCGAGGTGACATGAGGTTGTGCATTCTCAGCTCAGCGGACGTGTGAACGTTTGGATGCTAAAACCTGAAATGCCTGCCTATAACATGGACAAAAATTCATCTCTAGCTACTGATCGTGGTTTCTCAGGCTTTGGATGTGAGGTGAGGGATATCAAATCTTGAAGGCAAACAAATCAGCTCTGGTTGGGTTGAGCAGTAACATTTTCCCATCTTATATGTAGTTCCCGCGACTTGCAGTTGCACGGTAATTTTTATACACGGATATTCCCCTTCAAATCTTGGGTAAACTCGGTTTCGAGCATGTGTTGCACTCCTTCCCCGCGTGTGGCTGACAGTAGATTCCCACAACTCAGCCGTCACCACACTTCTACCCTGCTGTACATCCCCCTCTCCCCTCTCAAACCATGACAGCAGCCAGCAGCGCCAGCAGGCAGGCGGCCATAGGCGAGAGGGCAGGGGGGCGAAGGCTGCTGCTGGGCTTAGTAAGTGGGGTGGGGGAGGAGGGAAAAGGTGTGGAGGGGGTCGGTGAGAGGGAAGGTGAGGGAGATGTGGGGGGAGAGGGGCTGGCAGCAGCAGTGGTGTTGGATGTGGGAGGACCAGTGGGAGAAGTGGCGAGGACGGCAGGCGTTGGCGGTCTCCCTGTGAAGTGATGGGAGAAACACAATGGAGAGGAACGTGTATGGTGAAGGGTAGCTCGCGAGAGTGTAGTGTACGAGATGGTGGCACAAGGCAAGGCGAGTGTAGCAGGGAGAGAGACAGGTTTCTGGCAATGTAAGTCATTTTCAAGCACAAGGTGAGAGGGACGATCCATTCAGGGCATGGCAGTGTGCGGAGCAGGGCTGGGCATGGCATAGAATGGCATGGCATGGCTTGACAGGGCAGGGATGAGTATAAGACGGAAACAGCAAAGTATCATGAGGATTCATGGGCGGCGCCACACCTTGGTCAAGGGTGGAGTAGAATCGCGTGCAATCTGTGGTGGACCGTGGATTCTCGTCCCCCAGCAAGGTGCTTGCACCTGCACCTGCTGCTCTGTGAAAGCAGTTGGTGAAGAACCTGACGCGGGAAAAGCGAGGCAGGGGCGAAAGGATAGTGAAAGCATGGAGAGGAGAGAGTGATGAAGTTAAAGATGCCCCAGGCCGCAACAACCCATTGTTCGCAAGCCCACCCTGCAAAGTCAGACTTCAGGGTTTCACTACGGAGCACTCCCCTTGAAAGGGAACAATCCCCCACGAGCGTCATTCCTTGGGGACAGGACTCACTTGAAGTCAATGTTGCGGCCAGCAGGCACCTGCGGCACATTGCCAGTGAGGTAGTTGGATCTCAAGTCCCTGGCGATGTGCGGGTTTTGGGGTGGGGCGGCACGAGAGAGGGAGAGAGAGAGAGAGGGAGAGAGGGAGAGAGGGAGAGAGGGAGAGAGGGAGAGAGGGAGAGAGAGAAAAAGAGAGACAGAGAGAGAGAGAGGGAGAGGGAGAGAGAGGGAGAGAGAGGGAGAGAGAGGGAGAGAGAGGGAGAGAGAGGGAGGGAGTGGGAGAGGGAGGGAGGGAGTGAGTGAGTGAGTGAGTGAGTGAGTGAGTGAGTGAGGGCGGGAGGGAGGGAGGGAGGGAGGGAGGGAGGGAGGGAGGGAGGGAGGGAGGGAGGGAGGGAGGGAGGGAGGGAGGGAGGGAGGGAGGGAGGGAGGGAGGAAGGGAGGGAGGGAGGGAGGGAGGGAGGGAGGGAGGGAGGGAGGGAGGGAGGGAGGGAGGGGGGGGAGGGAGGGAGGGAGGGAGGGAGGGAGGGAGGGAGGGAGGGAGAGAGAGAGAGAGAGAGAGAGAGAGAGAGAGAGAGAGAGAGAGAGAGAGAGAGAGAGAGAGAGAGAGAGAGAGAGAGAGAGAGAGAGAGAGACAAAGGGTCTACGCGCGGAGGGCGCCGGAAACTACATCAGATGTGCTTCCAGCGCCGCGAGGATACCACGCACACAGTTGCTGGACCACTAACGCGGTCGCGCCTACGGCTTCAATCCCGCCACCAGCCTGGAGGTGTGCGGTCAGACCCTGGACCGTTCCGTTCAGTTCAGAAACCGCAACGCCTCCCATCGCGGGCGCTCCTAGCAAGGGTAGGAGGAGGAAGGCAAGCTGCGCAGCCGCCGCCAAGCAATCTCCTCGAGCCTCACGATCGAGAGTGCTCCCTGGGCTCTGGAGAATGGCGAAGTGCGCATTCACCAGAATCAGTGTCAGGGCCTGCTGGCACTCCACCAAGCGCCACAGCTGCGCTAGGGTCGCCGTGGGAACTTGAGCCACTCCGGTCCGCAACGCGGCAGGCGGAACAGGAAGAGGGGGCGGAGGCTGCACGGATGGAGCTTCAGCAAAACGACGCGGAGGAACGAAGGCTCCCCTCGCCGCTCCGCCTCCCGCTCCCACAAATCCCGTGTCCGGAAGAGGGGGAATCCAGGGCAGGGGCGGATACTGCGAGGCAGACACAGGGCGAACGTAGGCAGGCGGAGCACGGTCTCCGCCAGGAGCAGGAGCCCGTGGGTATGCAGATTCGTGCGGGGCAGATGCAGCAAGGGGCGCGGCCGGAACCTGCGCATTCACGGGAACAGGCGCGGGCGCAGGAGCGGCGGGAGCCGGGGAGCTACCAAGATTCGGTGCGCCATTCAGGGCGTTGCGCATCGCCGCAGCTAACATCCCCGGGAAATCCTCGCGGAGCTGCTGCATCTCGCTTGGCCCACCGCGCCCGCGACCGTGACCTCCCCACCAGCCACCGCGGCCTCCGCGGTGCGCCGACCGATACGACGAGGAGGGGCGACGACGAGGAGAACCTCGCCCCCGATGCGCAGCTGCATTGCCCCCCACGGCAGCGCGTATCTGGGACTCCGCGAGCCGCTGCGCGACGGGATTCACCGGCGCAGCCGCAGGGGCAACCAAGTGGGCAGAATCGGGGCCGGCGCCCACCGCTGTCCCCAGCGCAGGGCCCCCAGCGACAGCTTGGGCGGGGGGCTGCGCCACAGGCAACGGCTGCGCAACGGGAACCGGCGCGCCGGACACGGGAACAGCGTGCGGAAGGCTCAGCGGGGGAGCCGGCGACAGCGGAAGCGGAGCCGCGGACGTCGCAACAACAGCAGGGGGAGCCAGGGGGAGTAGGGGAGGAGCAGCAACAGCAACAGCGGCAGCAGGGGCCGGAGGCGGAGCAATCGCACTCTCAGCGGTGTGACCTTGGTCCACTGCTGACTTCTCCGCTTCAGTCGCCATTACGGCGAACGCGTCGGCAGCAGGCGATCGAGGACGCACGGTCGCGTCAGAACGCGGGATTAGGTGGTCGCGAAACTCCCCAGTTGGCCGCGGCCAGTGCGCGGACGCGTGGGGGACGAGCCGGAGGTCGCGGACGTGGCAGGGGCTCTCGAGAAGGGGGTCCGGAGAATGCGTTCCAGGCAGCGGCGAGAAGGGCTTTAACCGAATTAGTTAGAACTACTGAAGTAAGCGAGTTATCGGGAAGCATTTATGAAGCGGAGGAGGAAGAAGCAGGCTCACCTTCAAGTCCGAATGCCTCGGAGGAGGCCCAGTCACAAACTCCAGCTCGGGGGAGAATCAGCTCAACCGTGCCCGAGGCGCGTCAACAAATTTCAGAAACACGCCCACCCAGCCGCGACACTCACCACAGATTCAAACCGCTTCCCGCCCCCCTGCCACCACTGCCAACAATCCCGCCCAACCGAACCTGACATCGTCACCTGCACATGCACCACGAACAGCAGCGAGGGGTAACCAACAGCAGACACAGCCACCCCCCCAAAAATCGCCAGAGGCCCTCGCCAAGGACGACACATTATTCGCGAATGTCAGTACATGGAATCTGGATCTACGTTGGCAGATACGCCCTGGGCAGGGTTGCGTACCACGTATATACGCTTGCGTATATACGTGGTACGCTAATACGCTCGTATTTCTTGGAAATACGCCCGGGCAGCCCGCCGAAAAAAAAAAAATCGAAATTGAAAAATTTCGCGAAGGTTTTGCGACTTGGCGATTTGTTACCGCGCAGTCGCATATCGCCCTGGGGGGGGGAGGTGAGGATGCAGTTCTGGCGGATGAGTATGGGGCAGGGGTGGTGTTGGAAAAGCCCCGCAAGGAACTCGGCTGTGTGGAGGCTAGCTAGAGGGTGGGGTGGGGATGTATGGGGTGGGGAGAAGTAGCCCCAAAGATGTATCTCTGGATAATTATGAAATTAAAAAACATGTGTTTTTGGGAAACATAACCCGCCCCCCTGAAACAGGTTTTTTTAGCCCTGCCCGGGAAAAAAGTTTTACCTGCCCGCCCGGCGTATTTTTACGTATCACCAGTACGCCACCCCTAGCGTTCCGCGTATATACCCAGCGTATAATACGCTAGCGTATTATACGTGATACTCGTATCTGCCAACGTAGATCTGGATAAGCTGCGCGACAGTCGCAACGCTCCACTGGCACGTCGCCTGCCGGAAAAACTGCGCCTACTTTTCGCAATGGTGATGCTGACACCACTGCTTCGACTCGCACGCGACCCAGACTCCATCCCAGCTTGGACGATTCTGCTGTTTGCGGCTCGTCTGACGCTTCGTCAGCTTTCGCCGAGGCACCCTGACTGGAAGGCGACCAGGGAAAGATTGCGTAAATTCCTGCGAGGGGAATGGGAGGCACTGTACCAGGAAACGGTTGATTCGTTGGATTCCCCTCCCCCTCCCAGACACCAGCCGGACGACCTGGGGGTAATATCTAGGGCAGAAGGACTGGCGCGACGTGGCAGCTTACGGAGAGCTGTCATGGCACTGGAAGCCACCCCAGTCAGCCAGCCCTCTCCGGCGGTGCTGGAATCCCTCCGCGCCAAGCACCCTAGTGCCCCGCGCTCTGACACACCTTGGCCCCAGCCCGAGCCAGACTCTTACCTGGCAGTATCGCGGGAAACTTTCCTGAAGCTGCTCTCGAAATGTGAGAATGGGGTAGGTGCAGGTCCCTCAGGGACAACATTCGAGCACCTGCGCGAAGCTGCCCTGCTGCACGCCACGGTTGGTTCTCACCTTCATGCATTGGTTAACGCAATCCTGAGAGGGAAGCTGCACCAGGACGTAGGGAAGCTTCTTACAGCCTCGCGCTTGATAGCCCTCGACAAGCCGGATGGAGGAACGAGGCCGATTGCCATAGGCGAGTGCATCCTGCGTTTAGCAGCCAAGGCAGCTCTTACCCAGGTAGCGGATGCAGCACGAGAGTATTTCTTACCTCTACAGTTCGGAGTGGCCATGCCAGGAGGAGCTGAAGCAGTCATACATGTCGTCCGTACCTACACAGCGGCCAACCAGGACGCACTGGTGTTACAGGCTGACCTGGCGAACGCGTTCAACAGTGTCAGCCGCCACGCCATAGCGACGGCCTTGAAAGGATCGCAGCTAGAACCGCTGCTGCCGTTGGTGCACTTCTCGTACGGCCAACCCTCCACGCTGCATCTGGATGCAGCCTTCGACCACCCACCTCTGCTCAGTGAAACAGGGGTCCGCCAGGGAGATCCCCTCGGCCCCCTCCTTTGTGCCGCGGCGATGCAACCAGCTTTGAGAGCAGCAGCGGAAGCCCACCCCGAGGTCATCTGCCTGGCCTACGCGGACGATGTGACCTTCCTGGGAGAACCATCCTCATGCGCAGCTGCTTTTACACACTTCACGGGCCGCTTGGCTGAAATCGGGCTCAGCCACAATCCTTCCAAGTGCGGGGCTTGGGCAGGCAGGATGCCCACGGACTTCCGCCTGCCAGAGGGGGTTCCTCCCAGCAGCGACGGATTGAAGGTGCTGGGCAGCTACATTGGCACCTCCACGGCAACCACTGCCTTCGTACGGTCCAGCCTGGAGGCGATGGGCGCTCCGCTGGGATTGATTGAGCGGATGGAGCCGCAGCTGGCGGGACTGCTGCTTTCCCGGTGTATCTCCCGCCGAGTGTCATATTTAGCCCGCACAACCCCACTGCCTTACCTGCCAAAGGAGGAATGGTCTGAGTGGGGAAGAAGGCTGCTGGAAACATTACTATCAGCATGCGGCGTCATCCACCCCCGGGGGGACGAGGAGATTTCACGCACGTGGGCGCAAGCCTCACTCCCCGTGTCGCTTGGTGGCCTTGGATTGACGGACCCATCTGTCGAGGGAAGCTACAGCTTCCTCGCCAGCTACACGCAGGCGCAGCTGCTGCTTGACTCCCTGGACAGCGAGTGCAGTGGCCCACTGGAAGTCACGCGCGAGCTGATGCGTGGCCCCTACACCGAGTCCTCCCCCCTGTCCGAATGGCTTGGGAACTGCCGCTTCCAGCCCAAGAAGCTCTTCAGGCTGAGAGAGCGGCACCAACAGCAGGGAAACTACAGCATGGGCTGGACACGGCTATCCAGGGCCAGCGCTACGCCGTGCAGGTGGAGGAGGTGCGGGGGATGAGCCCGAACCCCAACAATGGTCACACGCAGCGGATGCTGTCCCTGTCAGGGTACGGGGCGGGGGACTGGTTAAATGCCGTGCCCATCCACTCCTCGCTCCGCCTTGAGGCCCCCCACTATGCCAACGCGCTCCAGTTTCGGCTGGGCCTCCCCTTTGCGGCTCCTGGGGTTTGCAACTGCTCCAAGAAGGTGGAGATCCCGGATAAGCGGCTGCCGAATCACCTGCTACGATGCGGAACAGGGGGGGGGCGCACAAACACGCACAATGAGCTCAGAGATGAGTGCGCACGGATGGCGCAAGACGCGGGCTTCATGGTGCACGTCGAGACAGCCGCCTTCAGCCCAGTGGAGGAGAAGAAGGCAGACTTGGCCTTACGCTGCCGCTCCACTGGAGCCGTCTACATCTGCGATGTGACGGTAACAGACCCCATCAGCACCCGCGATGAGAACGCCACTAAGGGGAGGGGGTGGGCGGCAAGGGAGGCAGCGGATAAGAAGCATGGCCTTTACAAGGACCGCCCTGAGTGGGTGAAGTTCTTCCCACTAGCGGTCGAGACATACGGGTGTCCCTGCCCAGAGTCGGTAGACTTCGTGAAGCTACTCGCAGAGACGGCTGCACGGCGGTTTTTCAACGCCGAGCCCACCTCCTACCAAGCTGCCAAGCTCTTACACCAATATAGGCAGCGGTGGTCGGTGGCTCTTCAACGTGGGCAGTCAATTGGGTACCTGGAAAAGTGCAACATAGCGGCAGCAGTTGAAAACCCGCTACTAGAAGCAGTGGGGGAGGCCCCGTCCCTTGGGGACTGCCTCTCGGTCCTTGATCCAGCACTGGATCTCACTTAGAGGGTGTAGTTCGGATGAGTGGATTGATGTATATGCGGTACTAGCCCCACCTTTGCGATGACTTATACCTTGCATGTCTGTACTCTTTGACTATCAATGAAAGGGCCATTAGAGAGAGAGAGCGAGAGCGAGAGAGGGTCCTAGCCTCTGCCCTCTCCCTTAGCCCTCTGCCCTCTCCTCCAGTGAGCTACTTAAGAGGCATCTCTTGGCCTCTCTTCCTCATTATTCAGTGTTGGTTCAGAATTTTTTCGCTCGCGCCGGCCGCCTTCGGCGGCCGACGCTCGACAGCGCGGCCTTCGGCCGCGCATGAGGGGACGGCAAGCGCGCAAGAGGCATCAAGAGCAACTATAGCATCTGCATACACGGATGGCGACTGTGGAGTACAACTAACGGGGAGTAAATGGGGCAACGGGAGAAAGCAAACGGGGAAGAAGCCCCGGCGGATACTAGAACTGATCCGCGTCATGAACCGCAAGGAGCCCAGTCTGAGAGCGGTGAAGCTCCCGCACCACCGCCGCGCTTGCGCCGATCACTTCGTCTCCAGTACCAGCGCGCAGGACCCGCTTCAACCCTCGGACAGCCGTACCAAGCTGCCCAACACCCGCAATTACACCCCGCGCGGGCGCAGCCAGCACGGGCGCCAGGATCTCGGCGAGCCGATCCGCCGCATCGAGGCACTCGTCCCGAGGGCCTCCGTCCAAGGAATTACCCTGGAACAGAGCAGCGTGACCGTACACCTGGATCAGGTGAACGGCGCAAAGGGCCTCACAGAGCCGCCACAACTGCGCCAGGCTCGCTTCCGGGACTTCAGCCATGCGAGGGGGCCCAGGCAAGGTCGGGAGTGGTGCATCAAGAGCAGATGGGGGCGCTGGATCAGCAGGCAGCAGAGGCGGGTACTGTGCCGTCACCGCTCCTCCTGCCGCAGTCACAAATTCCAATCCCGCCACCGGGGGAACCCATGGTAGCCGCAAGCGACGATCTCGTGCGGGTGCAGACGCGGCAGGGACGGAGGGAGCCGGAGCAGGAGCAAGAGGAACGGGGGCAACAGCCTGACGGGGCGGAGCCGCAGCCACGGGAGGAACGGCCGGAGGAGGAGCGGCTGGAGCAGGAGCACGGCGCTGCACCGCCCTCTCCTCACGTATCGCCACTGAGACAACACGCTGCACATCCGCCAGCGAGATCGGCTGAACATACGCCGAGCCGCCGCCATAACCACGACCTCCCGCCCATCCCCCACGACCGCCATGTTGCGCATGCCAGTTCGCCTGCGAGCGGTTACGCCGGGGGGAATCGCGGCGGCGTCGTGACGACTCCCGCTCCTCACGGGGCGCAGGAGAATGCGGGCGAGAGGAGCGTTGGCCCTGCTGATGACCCGCAGATGCAGCAACAAGGACCGGCTGGACGGCCCCCGCTGGCGCCACAGTCGGGCCCTGGCCGCCAGTGGTGGCGGACACCGCCATCGGCGACGAACCAACAGCCGCGTCGGTCGCAACAGGGACAACCACGGCGGGCAGCGCCGCAGGATTCACAGGGACAACCGGCGGATCAGGAGCACCTGGTGCGGGACCCGCAACAGGAGCAGGATGGCCCGGCTCAGCAACAAGGGCCGACGGGGCAGGCAGGGGAGACAATGGAGCCCCACACGTCTCGAGGTCCGGAGTCGGAGGCGCAGAGACACCAGCGATCGGGGGCGCTGGCTTCGGGGCAGGGGGGACTGGCGGCTTCATTGCGGCAATCCCCGAGGCGGACACCGGCGGTGACCTTTCGCGCGCCGATGACGCAGCGGCAGCGGGCTTTGGCGATGGCCACGGGTCCCCAGCAATCACCATCGCGAGGCGGGAGGAGGCGAGGAGCAGGACGCCGTGAAGGGCGCAGAATCGAGGGAGGACCGGAGAACGCGTTTCAAGCGGCGGCACGAAGGGCTTTAACACAGCTGGATGAGAATACTGACCCTGAGGAGCAAAATGACCCGTCTTATAGGGAGGAGGAACAACCGCCGAGCGAGGAGGAAGACGAGGATGAAGAAAGCGAAGGACAGGCGAGACGTAGCGGAGGGAACGGGAGAAGAGTAGCAGGGCAAGCAGGAGGCACACGGGTGCCACAGGATGGGGATCCGACGGCCAACATTCCAACCCCGCCCTCTCCACGTCCTTCGAGCCGCGGACGAACAAATCGACCACGGAGGGGCCAGGAGGGTGCGGCTTGCCAGTCCCAAAATGCCCGCTATTTTTCCCCGGAAGAGCTGGCGAGGCAGACGGACAAATTCGCCGAAGTGGCGGAATGGGACATTTCGCCACTATGCGACAGTCACCAACCTACGCTGTTACGACGACTACCACCGAAACTGTGCGAGATTTTTTCGCTCGCCATACTGACACCACTTCTACACCTCTCGCGAAACCCTGACTCCATCGCGGGATGGAAGTTACTTCTATTTCTCCCGCGCCTGACACTGCGACAAGGCTCAGCGAAACGACCCGATTGGCCCAAAATCAAAGCCCGACTCCGGGCATTTCAACGTGGCGAGTGGCAGCAGCTGTACTCAGACACAGTCGAAGCGGTCAACACACCACCCCCGCCACGTCACCAGCCTGACGACGTGGGCACCATCAGCAGAGCGGAGGGACTGGCAAAGAAAGGAAGCCTGCGCCGAGCCGTGTTGGCGCTCGAGTCAACGCCAGTCTGTACACCGAGCCCAGAGATTTTGGATGAACTCCGCCGTAAGCACCCCGCAGCCGACCCTGACCCCCTGACCTGGCCTGCCATCACCGAACCTACCACACTCGAAATTTCGTACGCGGATTTTTCGAAGATGCTCGGCCGATGCGAGAATGGTGTTGGGGCCGGCCCGAGTGGAATGACATTCGAGCACCTGCGCGATTCGTCAGTAACAAATGCAACCGTCTCAACCCATCTGCACGCCTTAGTAAACACGATCCTGCGGGGGAAATTGCCACTGCCAGTTGCGGAGCTACTCACTTCATCACGACTGATAGCCCTGGCCAAGCCAGAAGGTGGGGCCCGCCCAATAGCAATTGGCGAGAGTCTGACTCGCCTGACGGCAAAAGCTGCGCTGGCAGCCCTAGGCGAGGCAGCTCGGGGATATTTTCTCCCTCTACAGTATGGGGTAGCTGTGCCAGGGGGAGCAGAAGCAATCATTCACAGCGCACGCGCATACACGGATGCACACCCCAACTGCCTTATCCTACAGACGGACATCTCCAACGCCTTCAACAGCATATCGAGACAAGCCATAGTCACCGCGTTACAAGATCCGGCCCTCTCACCACTTTTACCGCTAGTTCAACTGACCTACGGCCACCCATCATCACTTTTCCTGGACACTAGCTTCAATAGCGCGCCACTCACTAGCGAACGCGGAGTACGACAGGGGGACCCCTTGGGTCCACTTCTATTCGCGGCCGGGATTCATCCCGCATTAAGAGCAACGGCTATCGCACATCCCGGCGTACTATGCCTGGCATACGCCGATGACGTCAGTTTCCTAGGCGAACACAGTGAGACCGTCGCGGCCTTTTCCTTCTTCACGACTCAACTGTCCCACGTAGGCCTGCGACACAATCCTGAGAAGTGTGTCGCATGGAGCAGTCACCCGATAGACCAGGAAGTACAGCTGCCGCCCGGGGTGCCGACTAGAACTGAGGGAGTCCGGCTTCTCGGTAGCTTTCTAGGCACGCCAGACGGCGCCGCGTCGTTCCTATCCGCGCAACTACAGGCCATGTCCAAGCCACTACCTCTGATAGAGCGAATGGACCCACAGATCGCATCCCTCCTACTCACCCGCTGCATTTCTCGACGAGTAGCATACCTCACACGAACAACCCCTCTTCACCTTCTAGACACAGACACTTGGTCCCAGTGGGGTAGGGACCTGCTGTCAACACTACTTACCGCATGCGGCATTCGCCTACCAACTGACGACACGGAACAGACTCGGGTGTGGGAGCAGTCGTCACTCCCACCGTCATTGGGAGGCATCGGCCTCACAGACCCCACGGTAGAAGGAACGTTCGGCTTTCTAGCCAGTTTCACGCAAGCCTCACTTCTGCTTAGTGGCATACCTCTGGAGTCAGGGACGGCCCTGACGGCGGTTAGAAATCACATGCTGCTACCGCGAGACGTCAATACTGCTCTACACCGCTGGCTATCCGAATGTGAGAGGGCACTGCCGCAGGAGGCCAGGGACATCCTAGACAAGGAAAGGCTCGAGCCCTCAGATTTAAAGCTACAGCACGAGCTCGGGGTGAGAGTGCAGGGGAGCAGATTTGCCACACAAGTTCAGGCAACACGGCTGATGCGGCTGAACCCACTCTCAGGCCATACCCAACGGTTCTTCTCCCTCACTGGCTACGGCTTGGGGGACTGGCTGACGGCACTTCCAATAGAACATACCCGCCGCGTCGGTCCCGAGCACTTTGCCAATGCCGTCCGCTTCAGACTTGGGCTCCCCTTCTCTACACCTAAAAACTGTGACTGCTCTAAGCATGTCGAGATCAAGGACCCACGACTGCCGAACCACCTTTTCCGCTGCGGCACAGGCAAGCACCGCATCAACACGCATAATGAGCTGCGGGACGCGTGTATTACCATGGCGGAGGACGCTGGCTTCATAGTCCACAGTGAATCGGCCGCCTACTGCCCTATTGAAGAACAGACCGCCGACTTCACCATGCGTGATAGGAGCTCGGGGGCGGTCTACGCGTGTGATGTCACCATCACAGATCCAATCAGCACCCGGGATCCCAATGCTACTAAGGGGAGGGGATGGGCAGCAAGAGAGCAGGCGGACAAGAAAATCGGTCACTACGCTAACCGACCTGACACGGTCGGTTTCTTCCCCCTTGCAGTCGAGACGTATGGCTGCCCATGTGCAGAAGTCCCACACGGGCCACCGCCAATAACTTCAGAAACTGTGGGACTTCTGCACATGGGCAGCCATACGTCTCGACTGACCATACCCCTCCAGTCCCCCTGACCACCGGGGTGAGAAGGCCAGTGAGGCTGCTGCTGGTAACGCCGTGGAGAATCACGACGGCGACGAGACGACTTGCGATCCTGGTGGGGCGCAGGGGAATGAGGACGAGACGGGCGGCGGTCAGGTGACTGGGGTCGTGACGGCTGGCCGGCCGGGGCCATCGGTGCCACAGCAGGCGTGGACTGACCCGCAGCTGAGGGCGCAACCGAGGGAGTCGGGCCGCCAGTGGTGGCGGACACCGCCAGCAGTGACTGCGCAACGGCGGGGATCGCCGCAGAGAGGACAACAGCGGCAGGTAGCACAGCAGGGACGACGGGGGCAGACTGCGCAGCGACGGGAGCACACGGCGCAGGTGGCGCAGGATCGAGACCAGGGGGAGGAGCAGACGGTTCGACAGCAGCCGCAGGGGGAGCAGGAGGAGCAGCCGGACCTGACGGAACAGCAACAGGGGCAGACGGACCAGACTCGGGGGCGGCAAGGGGATCCGCGGGTACGAGGGGAAGAGTCGTTTCAGAGACTGCTGTCGCGGGCGTCAGAACCTGCGGTAGAGGGGGCTTCGTCGCCATGGTCACCTTTTCGGGGCCCGAATGGGGCTTGGCGACCACAGCCGACCAGGCGGCAGCGCGCTCTGGCGACGGCTCGGCAGAACCAGCAATCACCATCGCTCGAACAAGGAGGCCGCGGGGCTAGGAGGCAGGCTGTTAGTGGGACAGGTGGAGGCCCGGAGAATGGGTACCAGGCAGAGGCACGAAGGGCTTTAACTGCCCTGGAAGAAGCTAATGAGGAGGAAGAATTACGTGACCCTAGTTATAGGGAAGAAGCCTTACCCGAGAGTGAAGAAGGAGAGTCGGCGGAGGAAGACGGGGCGAGGGAGACGGTGAGGAGAAGGGCAGCAGATTTAGGGAGCCCAGCCTTGCAATGCCCACACGCAGATCCGGGACCGTCCGATGCCGATCGAACGGGCGTTATTCCAACATCAGCCTCACCAGCGAGGACGGGCCGCGCTCGGCGAAACCAAACCGCCAGTGCCGATGTCGCGACGTGCCAGACCTCACCCATCCCCCGCTATTTTTCGCCTGACGAGCTGGCGAAGCGGGAAGATTTGTTCGCTGCCATCGAAGACTGGGACATCGCAGCACTTAGCGACAGTCGACAGCCCTCGCTGTCACGGCGTCTACCGCCAAATTTGTGTCAGCTGTTTTCGCTGACGTTACTGTCACCGTTGCTCCACCTTTCGCGAAACCCCGAATCCGAAGCGGGATGGCGCCTGCTCCTGTTTCTCCCGCGCCTAACACTTCGCCAGACCTCGCCACAGCGACCGAACTGGCCACAGGTCAAAGCCCGGCTCCGAGCCTTCCAGCGTGGCGAATGGGAGCAGTTGTATCTGGACGCGGTGGAGGCGGTCAACACACCTCCACCGCCACGTCACCAGCCTGACTCGACTGGAGTCATAAGCCGAGCCGAAGGCCTGGAGAAACGTGGCAGTCTGCGCCGAGCCGTTCTGGCCCTGGAGTCCACGCCAGTCTGCACACCAAGCCCAGAAATCCTGGATGACCTCCGCCGAAAACACCCTCCTGCTGCACACGCGGGGTTGACTTGGCCGGCGACGGGGGAGTCAAAGTTGACCATCAACCACGCCGACTTCGCCAAAATGTTGGGAAGGTGCGAAAATGGAGTGGGGGCCGGTCCGTCAGGCACGACCTTCGAACATCTGCGCGACGCGGCAGTTACCAATGCAGCGATCTGCACCCATCTGCACGCCCTGGTAAACACGATTCTGGGGGGAAACCTACCAGGCTCGGTGGCGAACCTGTTGACAGCATCACGCCTCATCGCCCTGGCCAAGCCTGGAGGTGGCGCACGGCCAATCGCGATAGGCGAGTGTCTGACCAGGCTGGCAGCCAAAGCAGCCCTCGCAGCCATGGGAGAAGCTGCCCGCGAACACTTCTTACCCCTTCAATACGGAGTGGCAGTGCCAGGTGGAGCAGAAGCGGTAATCCACGCAGCCAGGGCGTTTTTTGATGCCCGTCCCGACAGCCTGGTACTGCAGACGGACATTTCGAATGCCTTCAACAGTATTTCACGCCAAGCCATCGCAACAGCGTTACAAGATCCCGGCCTCTCGCCACTACTGCCGTTAGTTCAGCTGACTTACGGTAACCCGTCGCTGCTAAATCTGGACGCCAATTTCAGCAGCGAACCACTGAAGAGCGAACGCGGTGTTCGCCAGGGCGACCCACTCGGCCCGTTACTATTCGCAGCAGGGATACACCCCATACTCCGCGAAACGGCCGAGGCATATCCGGACGTGCTCTGCCTGGCGTACGCGGATGACGTCACCTTTTTGGGGGAGACACAACACACTGTAGCAGCCTTCACGTTCTTCACCGACAAATTGGCCCACATAGGCCTAGCACATAACCCGCAGAAGTGTGCAGCCTGGAGTGCGTCCATGGTTGAGCAGGCGCAGCTACCACATGGAGTGCCGTATTCAAAGGAAGGCGTACGGCTTCTAGGAAGCTACCTGGGGTCGGATATGGGAGCGGCCAAATTCCTGTCAAGCCAGCTAGAAGAAATGGCGAAGCCATTACACCTCCTCGAACGAGCCGACCCTCAGGTAGCTTCCCTGCTACTCACTCGCTGCATCTCCAGGCGTGTGGCTTATCTCACCCGAACGACACCCCTTCACCTACTCCCTCGCGATACTTGGAGCCAGTGGGGACGGGACCTGCTCATCGCACTGCTGGTATCATGCGATATCCGCGTCCCCACATGCGGAGCCGAGCAGGCCCGAGTATGGGCGCAGGCGTCACTACCACCATCACTGGAAGGCATCGGCCTCACAGACCCTCTCATCGAAAGAGTATACGGGTACACGGCGAGTTTTACCCAGGCGGGTACACCGCTGCACACTTGGCTTACCGAGTGCGAAGCCGCGTTGCCATGGGACGCGCGGGAGATCTTGGAAAAGGAACGACTGAAACGGTCGGACGTTCGGCTACAACACGTACTCGGCTTGAAGGTCCACGGCAGCAGATACGCCGTGCAGGTGCAGGACACGAGGCGCATGAAACCGAACCCCCTCTCAGGCCACACGCAGCGGATGTTCTCGCTGACGGGATACGGCACCGGCGACTGGCTGACAGCGATCCCTATCGCCTCAAACCGACGGTTAGGCCCAGTACATTTCGCCAACTCCGTGCGCTTCCGGCTCGGGCTCCCGTTTTCAACGCCAAAGAATTGCGACTGCTCTGACCACACAGCTATCACCGACCCCCGCCTCCCAAATCACCTCTTCCGCTGCGGCACGGGCAAGCACCGCATCAACACCCACAACGAGCTGCGGGATGCATGCATTAGCATGGCGCAGGATGCGGGGTTTATAGTTCACAGCGAGTCAGCCGCCCACTGCCCCATTGAAGAGCAGACTGCCGATTTCACCATGACAGACCGAAGCAGTGGGGCGGTCTATGTCTGTGATGTCACCATCACAGACCCCATCAGCACAAGGGACCCTGAGGCACAGAAAGGCAGGGGGTGGGCGGCAAAGGAGCAGGCCGACAAAAAGATAAAGCATTATGCTAACCGGCCGGAGACAGTTGGCTTCTTCCCTCTGGCTGTGGAAACCTACGGCTGCCCATGCGCCGAGGTACCTGTTTTCCTGAAGCTCTTAGCAGACACGGCGGCTCGGCGCCACTTCAATGCCGACTCAAAATCCTTCCATGCCGCGAAGTTTCTGCACCAGTTCAGACAGAGATGGTCGGTGGCCCTTCAGAGGGCCCAATCTGTGGGCCTCCTACTCAAGCTAGGCGAGGCGGCTGCAGCAGAGAACCCGCCTGTAGGCGGTATTGGGCAGGAGCTGAACCTAGGGGATTGTTTTGCGGTGGTCGAGCCCTTCCTGGAGCTTTAGAAGAGGTAGTAGGTAGGATTTGATGCTTGGTTTGTTTGTTACCTAGACCTCTATCACTTGCAGGTGGAGGAGGGGGGGGGAGGAAGAGGAGGAGGAGGAAGCATGAGATGAGACAAAGTGGGGCTGCAATCATACGAAGGTGGACGTCCAGGCACTTGACGATGGTGACGAGCATAAGCGCCTGGATGGATGCATGGAAGAAGGGGGACGATGGTGTGGGCCAGCTCATTCACTACCACTGCCGCGACCACCTGTATGCATCATACATGGAAGAACAGGAAGAAGTGGATGGGCAGTGCCCCAGCTCATCTGTGTGTGTGAGGTGGTATTTTCTGTGTGTGAGTGCATAAGACACACACATGTGCTCATATCCTTGGAGTATGTGTGAGCATGCTAGGCAGCTGTGTGTATTACCTGCGAGAGCAGGAAGAAACGAATGGTGTGGCCCAGCTTCCAGTGGCCCAGCTCGTGAGTGGTTATGTGGCAGTATCCTCTTTTTGTGAGTGCGTGACGCATGCATGATGCATGTGAGGTGGCATTTAGTCACCTGGGAGAGCAGGAAGAATCGGATGGTATGACCCAGCTTCCAGTGGCCCAGCTCGTGTGCACCTATGAGAAGGAATCCTCTGTATGTGAGTGCTCATATCCTTGGAGTAAGTGTGTGCATGCTAGGCAGTGAATGTAAGTGTGTGCATGCATCACCTGCGAGAGAAGGAAGAAGCGGATGGTGTGGCCCAGCTTCCAGTGGCCCAGCTCGTGTGCGATCACTGCCACCACCTCCTCCTCATCGTCCTTGCACTGCCATGCACTGCTATGCCATGCCATGCCATGCCATGCAGTTATAGTACAGCAAAGTTCGGGTGGATAGGGGCAACACAGTGCAATGGAATGCGGTTCATAGGTGCCCCAGCTCGTGTGCAATCACTACCACCACCTCCTCCTCGTCGTCCTTGCACTGCCATGCCATGCCACACAGCATGCAACACAACATGTAGGAGGATTGCGGTGAAGGTGGGGTGAAAGAGACCAAGACAATGCAGTGCAGTGAGATTCACCCAGCTCGTGTTGCAATCACTGCCACCACCTCCTCCTCATCGTCCTTGCACTGCCACACCGCATGCCATGCAGCATGCAACACCACATGTAGGAGGGATGCAGTGAAGATGGGGTGAAAGAGACGAACACAATGCATTGCAGTGAGATTCACCCAGCTCATGTGCGACCATTGCCACCACCTACAACAGCGATGCTCATGCCTTGCACTGTCACACCATGCCATGCAACGCAGCACGGGATGGATTGGAGATGGAGAGAACTTCGCAGGGAGGAGGGAAACGCAGTGCACTGGAATGAAATGCTTCACCAGAGCATGCGTTGGAACGCAGCACAGCATGGAATGGAGTAGGAATGCTGTACTCACATGAGACAGCAGAGTGCCTCACATGCGACAGCAGAGTGCCTCACGTGCGACAGCAGAGTGCCTCACATGCGACAGCAGAGTGCCTCACATGCGACAGCAGAGTGCCTCACATGCGACAGCAGAGTGCCTCACATGCGACAGCAGAGTGCCTCACATGCGACAGCAGAATGCCTCACATGAGACAGCAGAGTGTCTCACATGCGACAGCAGAGTGTCTCACATGCGACAGCAGAGTGCCTCACATGAGACAGCAGAGTGCCTCACATGCGACAGCAGAGTGCCTCACATGCGACAGCAGAGTGCCTCACATGCGACAGCAGAGTGCCTCACATGCGACAGCAGAGTGCCTCACATGCGACAGCAGAGTGCCTCACATGCGACAGCAGAGTGCCTCACATGCGACAGCAGAGTGCCTCACATGCGACAGCAGAGTACCTCACATGCGACAGCAGAGTGCCTCACATGCGACAGCAGAGTGCCTCACATGCGACAGCAGAGTGCCTCACATGAGACAGCAGAGTGCCTCACATGCGACAGCAGAGTGCCTCACATGCGACAGCAGAGTGCCTCACATGAGACAGCAGAGTGCCTCACATGCGACAGCAGAGTGCCTCACATGCGACAGCAGAGTGCCTCACATGCGACAGCAGAGTGCCTCACATGCGACAGCAGAGTGCCTCACATGCGACAGCAGAGTGCCTCACATGCGACAGCAGAGTGCCTCACATGCGACAGAAGAGTGCCTCACATGCGACAGCAGAGTGCCTCACATGCGACAGCAGAGTGCCTCACATGCGACAGCAGAGTGTTGTAGACCGAGACAGCGTGAGGCATGGTTGCCATAGACAGCAACATGTCATAGACAATCCCCATCGTTTTGCAACCAAGGCTGAGGCATGAGTAACCTCTTACTCACATGCGACAGCAGCGTGTCATAGAGCACGATACGCTTGTTCTTGAAGAAGCCGTACAGATAGGCCTGGGGCATGGTGAGGGATGAGGGAGTAGAAGGAGAAGGGGCGATACAGAAGGGAGGAGTGTGTTGAGAGATATAGCAGATCGGCGGGAAGAAGGAGGGCATGGGAGAGAAGGGCAGGGGCGAGAAGAATGTCCGTTGAGCAGAGCACAGATTCTGGCCGTGCAGCAAGAAGCTTAGTTCAAGGCGTTGCAGCAGCGCCGCTGCTTGCAGCGAGCCTATCATTATGTATAGACAGTATGCTAACTTACTGAAAGGAGGAGAAGTCTGGGGGAGAGATGGAGCAAGCAAGGGTGGGAACGTGAAATGGGATGACCTTAACAGCTCGTTCTCACATTGCTGTGTGCGGATCGCTGTGAGCCGTCCATCACGAAGATCTTCTTGAGTGGGTAACTGAGTGAACCTGCAAGGCCCTCTATCTTGCTCCTCAGTGTCCCGGCTTCAAGCTGAAAGAGAGACAGAAAAAGGGAGGGAGAGTTGTGAGGGGTAGAGGGGATGGACAAGCGGAAAGGATGGCTCAACGAGCCTGCAAGCGATTCTGCCTTCACTGCCCCGACCTCTTGACTGCCCCGACCCCTATCAGCCACCATCACATGACACTCCAAGGGCCACAGAGGGTCGACCTCTGGCTCTTGGAGATTTGGGGTCATACATAGCTACAGGTGTGTTGGAGTTCTGAGAAGGGGTATGGTGAGCGTGAAGAGCGAGAAGATGCGCTTGCAGACTTAGTCACTTGGTGAGGGCAGCTTACTCACAGTGGCGAACTTATTGAAGAGGGAAGTGATGGCGACCGGGTAGATGGTGAGAATGAAGAGGAAGAAAAAACTCATCCATCCAGTCCAGCGGCCAGCCAGACTCGCTCAGTGTGTGTGTGTATAGTGCAGCTGACTCACAGGTGTGAACTTGTTGAAGAGAGAGAAGGCATGCAAGAAGACTCGGTAAGTGTGCATGTAGACTCGTTTCTTCTAGTCTGTGCCTCATACTCACAGGTGTGAACTTGTTGAAGAGAGAGAAGGCATGCAAGAAGACTCGGTAAGTGTGCATGTAGACTCGTTTCTTCTAGTCTGTGCCTCATACTCACAGGTGTGAACTTGTTGAAGAGAGAGAAGGCATTCAAGAAGACTCGGTAAGTGTGCATGTAGACTCGTTTCTTCTAGTCTGTGCCTCATACTCACAGGTGTGAACTTGTTGAAGAGTGGGGCGATGGCGACGGGGTAGATGGTGAGCATGAAGAGAGAGAAGGCGAGCATGAAGAGCCAGAGGTAGACCGCCACTAGGTTGCCCCCCACCTGTGGCGCGAAGAATGAGGGAGAGTGGAGGCGGGAAGAGCAAGACAGAGGGGGGAAGGGGAGCATGAAGAGGAAGAAGGGGAGGACGAACGAATAGCTAGTTAAGAGAGTATGAAGAGGCAGAGGTAGGCACACTGCCAGTAGGCTGCCTCCGACCCGTAGAGAGACGAATGAGGACAAGGAATCAAGAGCAAGAACAGCATCTCACTCTTACCCACATTGTACCCCTCACATGCACCTTACCCTTCACGTTCCTCTTACCCGTCACATCACACCTATCCCTCGTACTCCTCACCTGCACAATGCGAATGCACGCTCCCAGCACGGGCGGCAGGATGACCACCATGAGCAGAATGCCAAGGATGCGATCCTTGATGAAGCCCAGTAGCGTTTGCTGCGCGGGAGGAGAGGGAGGAAGCAAGGGGAAGGGAGGTTGGTGTAGCTTGTCTGGTGGTTACAGCCATGAGCAGAATGCCAAGGATGCGATCCTTGATGAAACCCAGTAGCGTTTGCTGCGAGGGAAGGGAATGGGGAGCGAGGGGAAGCAAGGGGTTGCGGAAATGTGATTTGAGTCGAGATGACAACGTTGGGCAGAATGCCAAGGATGCAATCCTTGATGAAGCCCAGCCCAGTAGGTCTTGGCTAGTCGGGATGGGAAAGGAGGGAAGTGATAGAGGTGGGGGACCAAAGAGGATACGGGGTCTGTCCGTTCAGAAAGAAACAAGAGTAGAGTGCTGTGGATAGGGTTTTCAGATAGATGGGGAAGGTAAGAATTCCAGAGGAAAAGAGAAGGAAAGGATAATATAGAAGAGAAACGCAGATGCAGTTGAAAACTCACGATGAAAGACAATAGGTAGGGAAAAGAAAGGAATGACAAGGAAGAGAAATTAGACGGTGAAATTCCAGGCAATGGGACAAACAATTCTGTACCTCAACGGCCCTCAAAGAGAGGGATGTGCCGAAAAAGCAGGGGATGTAACGAGCTTTTGTGGTACATTTTAGGGTGATTGTTAAAAGTCATACAGAGGTCACTTTTGGGGTCAAGTTACTTTGTAGTGAACCACCTTTGAACCCAAAGTAAAACCCGTGCGACCCGAGCTGCACAGGACGTCCAGGAGCCCTGTCAAGGCTTATCAACGAGCCTCCAGGTTTGCTGAGGCTGGTAGGTTCATGCCTGGCCCACCCATGGCTGTCTAACTGAACTGACCCATTGATAACTGACTGAATCATTGATGACTGACTGACCCATTGATTGACTGACGGAACCATTGATGACTGATTGACCCATTGATGACTGACGGAACCATTGATGACTGATTGAACCATGGATGACTGACTGACCCATTGATTGACTGACGGAACCATTGATGACTGATTGACCCATTGATGACTGACGGAACCATTGATGACTGATTGAACCATTAATGACTGACTGAACCATTGATGACTGACGGAACCATGGATGACTGACTGAACCGTTGAGGACTGACGGAACCATTGATGACTGACTGAATCATTGATGACTGACGGAACCATTGATGACTGACTGAACCATGGATGACTGACTGAACTATGGATGTCTGACTGACCCATTGATGACTGACTGAACCATGGATGACTGACTGACCCATTGATGACTGACTGAACCATTGATGACTGACTGAACCATAGATGACTGACTGACTGACTGAACCATTGATGACTGACTGAACCATTGATGACTGACTGACCCATTGATGACTGACTGAACTATGGATGACTGACGGACCCATTGATGATTGACTGAACCATTGATGACTGACTGACCCATGGCTGACTGACTGAACCATGACTGACTAACCCCGATGATTGACATGATCCTTCCCAGAACAAAACCCCGGCTTGTCCAAATAGAGACGAATCGGAAAGCCAATAGCTGAAATGAGCCGGTTGTGCTGAAACCCCATTCGACGAGCCAAGCCAACGAGCTGAACCGCCTGCCCGGCCGTGTTGTGCTCGTGAGTCATGCACACTGAAAGAGGCCCTGAACAAGGGCTTTAGAAACGGCCCTAGAAGAGCCACGCCGTGAGCTGAGCTGACCTTGTTGAAGCCGTGCCTGTGCTCAATGACAAATGTGGAGTAGAGGGCGAAGGGCAGATCCACCACCTGTGGTGTGCGCCGTGCGGGGCAGGGCAGGGCAGGGCAGGGCAGGGCAATGCAGGGCAGGGCAGGGCAGGCAGAAGGATGGTGTGAGGAGAGAGAGGCATGGCGTGGGTGTGAGCGGCAGGAGGGAGGAGTAAGGATGGATTCACTCGAGTGCTGACATGCTCAGAACAAGGTGAATGGCAAGCCGCGAGAGCACATGCGCTGCTGTCTTGAGCTGTGCGACTGTGGGGCTGTGGATGTGGGGAGTTGTGGGGCTGTGTGCTTTTCGGTAGAGAACCACCTGAGTGAGTTGCCGGAAACCTGAGATGATATATGGAAGATGGGCGGCTGAGGAACTACTACAAGGCGCGATAGTGGCATGGGAAGAACATGAAAAGCGAATGCAAACGCAACGCACCTGGGAGATGAGCGAGGAGGCGAAGAGGAAGAGGATGGAGTGCTCGATTTCATTGCGCCCGTTGATGCCCCACAGGTACGGTAGCTGATAGTCCAATGCGCACAACTGCAGTGCAGTCAGACAGACATACAGAAGGAAAGAGGAGGGAAACAAGACTCGTGCAACAGTGTCTTACAGCGGACATTGACGCCCCACAGATACAACACCTGGTAGTCCCACGCGCACAGCTGCAGCAGTCCAACAGGCAGAGGGAAGGGGGAGGTAGGGAGGAACAAGACTCGTGCTACTACGTCTTGCTGCAGCCGTTGATGGCCCACAGGCACAGAAGATGATATTCAGCTGCAGGGCAGTCAGACAGAAGGAAGGAGGCTGATGAAAAGAATACACGAGATGTGTGTTACTAGTAGAAGTCAAGTCAAACATTCTTGCTGGGCGCCTAGAAAAATCCCCCACATACAGTAGCTCGTGGTTCAGCACGCACAGAGAGCGAACGGGGGAAATAAAGAAGAAATTGGGCGAGGAGGGAAAAGTGAGAGGTTAAGGAAAGATTGAGAGGGGGAAGGTGCGTGGGAAGGAGTGAGCTCGGTTGCCACCATGGGAAGTTGCGGTGAGTTGAGCCAGATGGGTCGAATAAGCAGAGAAAACAACGGCTTTCAGGCAACTCAAAAGCGGAGGTGAGTGGGAGGGAGTGAGCTCAGTCGCAGCCGGTGGAAGCTGCGCTGAGCAAGGACTTGACTTCGAGGAGGCTGTATGTGCACGCCTTGAGGAACTTGTTTTGGCTCACCACGCCCTCCAGCGCGGGGGGGAGGTGGGAAGCCGACCGGTGCAGCAGCATGCCTTGCACGGTTTTTGAAGCGCCAAGCAAGCAAGCAACCAGCGAGAACGCAAGCAGGCAAGAAACGAGCAAGCAAAGCAGCAAACAAGCACCCAGCGAGCAAGCCTCATCCACTCACCTCCCACAGCCACGGCAGCACGAAGAGCTTGAGCATCAGAAGCTCGACACAGAAATCGACAGCTCCGCGCACGAAGCCCAGGCGGGCCCTGTCGAGGCTGTAGGCGCGCGCCTTGAGGAACTTGTCCTGGCCCACCACGCCCTCCAGGGCGGGGGGGAGCGACGGGCGCAGTAGCTGCATGCTTTGGACTGTTTTTGAGGCGCCAAGTAAGCAAGCAAGCAAGCGACCAGCGAGAAACTCAGCTCACCTCCCACAGCCACGGCAGCACGAAGAGCTTGAGCATGAGCAGCTCCACACAGAAGTCCACTGCTCCACGCACGAACCCCAGGCGGGCCCTGTCGAGGCTGTAGGCGCGCGCCTTGAGGAACTTGTCCTGGCCCACCACGCCCTCCAGTGAGGGGGGGAGTGATGGACGCAGTAGAGCGGCAAACTGGCGCAGGTCGAGGAGGGTTTCAAAGGCGAAGGAGGCCGCGATGAAGGCTGGAGGGAGGGGGGGGATGGGGGAAAGTAGGGAGAAAGAGAGGGGAGGGAAGGAGAGAAGGGAGTGGGAGGAAGGGGGCGCAGGAGCAGCATTTGCAAGTGTGAGGTAGTGGTGGCTCAGAGGGGGGAGTGACAGGCAGCTGTAGGTGGCGCCTTGAGGAACTTGTCGTGGCTCACCACGCCCTCCAGCGCGGGGGGAAGGGATGGGCACAGCAGAGCGGCGAACTGGCGCAGGTCGAGGAGGGTTTCAAAGGCAAAGGAGGCTGCGATGAAGGCTGGATGAGGGGGGTGGGGTTGGGGGAATGTGGGGGGGTCAGGGCGAAGAAAACGGGAACGGAAGGTGGAGAAGAGGAGAAGGAGAAGGACGAGGGGGCAGCGCAGGCAGCTGTGAGGTATGGGGCGGAGGGGAGCGCAGGGGGGGAGCGACGTGCGCAGCAATGTGGTGAACGGATGGAGGTGGTCGAGGAGAGTCTCAAAGGCAAAGGAGGACGCGATGAGGGGCCGGATGGGGGGGGGACTGGAGGGGGAAAGGAGAGGGGGGAGGATGGGGAAAAGAGGGCGGGCGGAGGGGGACGAGGATGCAGGACGCGGGGGGGGGAGGGGGGGGGGTTGGCGTAGGAGTAAAGGGTAGGAAGTGGGAGGAGAGGGACGAGGGGATAATGTAGGCTACTGTGGATTGAGGAGGGGGTGGGGAGAAGGAGAGGGAATGGGGGGCAGGACTGGGGAATGCGTGAGTTAGGGCATGAAGTATTGACAGTGAGCACACGGAGAAACGAGAAAAAGCGAAAGGCGAAGGGCGAAGAATAGATGGTCAAGAGGGTTCGAAAAGAGCACGAGCGGAGGGGGGGAGGGAAGAGGAGAGAGGGAGGCGAGCGACGGAAAGCGGAGGCCGAGCGACGGAGAGGGGGGAGCGAGAAACAGAAAGGGGGAAGGAGACGGACCAATGACGAGATCGAGGTAGGGAAACACCTTGTCCGCCATGGCGACCGTCAAACACGGAACCAATGGGAAGACTGCTTTTCTCGAGGAATATTAACTACTTTTTCAGACCCAGTGAAAGCGGTACAATATTGCTCCAGTAACAGCCGAGCTCAGTAGTAGTGTATCTTCACAAAAAATGCGAATCTAAAGTAAAGCGATCTGAAGATTCCTTTCAACAGGCACGTGGTGAAGAACCGACGACCGCGGCGCCAGCCTAGCACGTAATGAATAGAAGCGGTTGGACGCCGCTGCAAGTAAAAATCTCGGGGTGGTAGAAATTTCGGATCAACCCCTCTATAAAAGGCTTCTGAAAACCGGTTTCGTGGCGATTTGATGTGGCGGTCGAGACATAGATCCAACATTCTTGTTATGCAATAGATATCCAAGGTAAAAACGAAAAACGAATCTTGTTGTGACATGTACGATGTATACAGGAATGTTTTAAATTTATAATTATATTCAAAATCATAACAAATCAGATCTGGAATGATGGTCTCAAACCCCAATTAGAGAAATATCAGCAGATTTAAGAGTTTATAGAGCATGCTTCTTCCATCTTTATTTTGCAGACTCTTTTGCAGCGGATACAAAACACAATCGAGCCCTTTCGTACGTTGACAAACCCAGTGACGTAAGCACCTGTGTGGCACTGCGCCATGCCAGCGTGGTCGAGATCTCGCGAAGCATCAAGTCGACGGTGCTGCCAGTCACGAGAGAGTGAATTGGCGTACCTGACACATGGCGTACCGTGATTGCATACGAGAATTGTGGGGAGCGTACAGAGAGTTGCCGTGTGGTGGCTCGTAGTGAGCCACCTGTTACGAAGGATCCAACTCGTACATCTACAGGTCAGTCTTCGCGGTTTTGATCGTTTCCAAACGGTGTACAATGTTTCTTTCTTTACCATCACCGATTGGCACCGTGACAAAACAGATTAAACCGCAAAGAACGTACAAGTGACGTAAGAGGTAACCCGACATCTCCTAGTGTGAATTCCACTACACATTCGATTTTCCGAAATGACCATTAGCATCGGAGTCTTTGGAACAAGTGTCTTGGTAATGGCGGCAGGCATGACAGGAACGCAGATTCCAACAGCTGCTTCGCTGATAGTCGTCTAGTGCTTCCGAGTCGATTATGGAAGGACCTGCGCGATACGAGTATGGGTAGCTCACTGAAGTTCGCCCTAATGCGTTCTATTGACTGGGTGAACTCTGACTAGTAGTAGCTCTGAAATTGTGAACAGCAACAAGTTGTTGAACAAGTTATCGTCGACTGGTGATTCATGTATAGTACGGGCTGTTCGCCGCACACGAGCAGTCTCAAACGAGTAGCTCAAATAAGCAAAGAGATATCCTCTCTGCGCCACGTGCGTCACAGATCTAGACGGCCTTGCATTGTTGCCGTCCCGTACTAGTAGTAACCATTGCATTTCCGCTACCCGCCTTTTGCAATCACGGCGCGTGCTCGCGATGCCTCCCTCCCTGTCGTCGCGAGCCAATCCCCATCGCTCCCTCGCCCGCTCAGCATTCGAGGCTCCTCGAATAGCTTTCCTCGTCCGTTCGCCCGCCCTCGTTCACCCCACGCGGCCACCAGCCAATGCTCATTCCTCCCCAAACCGTCCCTCCGCGTGCGCTCCCGATGTCGCGCGCGTGGAATCTCGTTCCCCCCACCGCGGTGACTTCCATTCTCGCCTCCAGCGCTCCTTTCCCCCTTCCTCCACCGTATCATTTCTCCCCCTTACTAGTAACCCGTTAGCAACCACAGTAGTCGGCTCGAGAGCAACGAGGTCGAGTGCAAAGCACCAGACGGGATGGACTTACTCTGAATTAGCCTCTGCTCCTTCCGCCACGCTGAGTATACGCGAGAGCTCGGCATGTGGGTTACCAGCGGGAGCTCGCCGTGCTGCGTGGTGGCGTGTATCCCCCACCACGACCACCGTGTCTTGTAAGATTGCATTCACGGCGGAAAGGAGATCGAAGGCTGTACGGCCTGAGCGCCGTCGCCTGCCAGCTTTATCCGCTCATGGCTCCGCGGCGACTGTAGCGGAATCAGAGCCAGGAGACGGGGGATCGGCGGGGAAGGGGAAAGAGAGTTCGGGTGCGAAATCAGAGGCAGGGGAAAGTGGGTTGGTAAGTGGAGACGAGGGTGTGGGAGCGCCTTTGACAGCAGAAGACGCAGCACGCATTCCAGGAGTAGAGTCGACGCCAGGAATCCCGGCATTAGCGGCAGCAGGATTGGCAGCAGGTGGGGAGGGGGGCGGGTTGGCGTGGGGGGAGTGGGGGTATGCGGTGGCAGGGGAGGCAGCGCGGGCGGTGGGGGGGGCAGGGCGAGTGGTGGCGGCAGCACTGCCGCCGGAGTCAGCAGTGCTGCTCACGGCGTGCGTGGTGGGGCTCCTGACAGGCGCCTCTGTGTCGCTCTTCAATGAAGCTGTGAGTGCAAGGTGGTGATTGATGGTGCATGATGGTGTTTGTGAGCATGCAATGGGTGTGTTGTGGGGATGTTGCTATGGATGCTCGCTGGTGCTGTGCTGCTCACGGCGTGCGTGGTGGTGCTCCTGACTGACTGGCGCCTCTGTGTCGCTCGTCAACGAAGCTGTGAGCGCCGCATGATTATGTTATGACGGTGCTTGTGATTATGACGAATGTGGTGCTGTGAATGCAAGAATGCCTGCGGGCTGCTGACGGCATGAATCTGTCGTCGCTCAAAGAATCTGTGAGTGTTGCTGCCCGCCTCCCATCTACTCCCCTTCCCATCTGCCCCCTTCCCATCTGCCCCCCTCCCATCTGCCCGCCTCCCATCTACTCCCCTTCCCATCTGCCCCCTTCCCATCTGCCCCCCTCCCATCTGCCCGCCTCCCATCTACTCCCCTTCCCATCTGCCCCCTTCCCATCTGCCCCCCTCCCATCTGCCCCCCTCCCATCTGCCCCCTTCCTATCTGCCCGCCTCCTGTCTGTCCGCCTCCCACCCGTGCTGCCATTGACCACTCTGTGTTACAGAGCCACGTGTCACCTCAGAAATTGCCTCACTCAATCATTGCCCTGCCCCCCTCACCAACTCACTCATCGCCCCGCTTCTCACGCCAAATTATAGCTTACGTATCACCCACCTACTTATCACGCCACCCCACTTACTCACTCATCACCCCACTCACCCTAAACCCCTCTTACTTATCACCCCACTTATTGCACCGCCCTTTGCTCCCCCCCAACTTAACATCAGGTGCACGCCATCCGGGACACCGTGTGGCAGGGCGTGCCGCCCGAGGAGGGCTCCACGTGGCTGCGCAGCCAGTCAGTGGCCGCCACGTGGCACCTGCACATCTTCGTGCCCCTGGCGGGCGGCGTGGTGGTGGGAATCCTCAACACCGTCCGATCGGAGATCAAGGACCTGCCATTGGTCAGACAAAATCCACGTGGCAGCAGCAGTGGCAGCAGCAGTGACAGCAGCAGCGACGACGGCAGCAGCAGCAGCAGCACCTCCTTCGCCTCCCGCGCAGCCCACTCAGTTGCTCAGAACCTCGTGGCTGTGCTGCGGCCGGTTCTCAAGGCAGTGGCAGCGGCGGTGACGCTGGGCACGGGCAACAGCTTGGGGCCAGAAGGGCCCAGTGTGGAGATCGGGGCAAGCGTGGGGAAGGGGGCAGGCAAGGTGCTGCAGGGGGGGCGGGAGCGAACCATTGCGCTCGTTGCTGCTGGCTCTGCTGCTGGTATCTCTGCTGGTGAGTCGTGTGATGGTCTGTTTAATTCGCGTCCTGGTGAGTCTGCTGGGTGTGCTGGCGAGGCTGATGCGTGTGATGGCGAGGCTGATGCGTGTGCTGGTAACGGTTTGAGTGATGAGGGGTGACGTTGGGCACGGGCAACAGCTTGGGGCTGGAAGGGCCCAGTGTGGAGATCGGGGCGAGCATGGGCAAGGGCGCAGGGGGGACGAGAGAGGACCATTGCGCTCGTTGCTGCTGGTTCTGCTGGTGGTATCTCTGCTGGGGAGTCCCGCGCCGCTCAGGCTGATGTGTCTGCTGGTGAGTCTGCTGTCCACCCAACCCATCTGCCACTAACCGCCCCCAAACGTCCACCCACCCATCCCCCTGCCTTCACCAGGTTTCAACGCAGCGGTGGCAGGGTGTTTCTTCGCGCTCGAGTCGGTGCTGCGCTCCTCCGTGTCCTCATCGCCCGCCTCCCTCACCACCGCCATGGTGCTGCTCTCCTCTGTGCTCGCCGCCGTCGTCTCACAGCAGATCCTCGGCTCCGACCCGGCCGTGCAGATCCCCCTCTACGAGTTCCGATCGCCAGCAGGTGGGTGGTGTTGCAATGGGCAGCAGGCAGATGGTGTTGAGGTCACAGAGCAAGAATGAGATGGGCCTATCAGTCGGGTGTCGTCTCACAGCAGATCCTGGGCTCCGACCCCGCCGTGCAGATTCCGCTCTATGAGTTCCGGTCACCTGCAGGTGGGTGGTATTGAGGTTGGCAGCAGGTGGGTGGTATTGAGGTTGGCAGCAGGTGGGTGGTATTGAGGTTGGCAGCAGGTGGGTGGTATTGAGGTTGGCAGCAGGTGGGTGGTATTGAGGTTGGCAGCAGGTGGGTGGTATTGAGGTTGGCAGCAGGTGGGTGGTATTGAGGTTGGCAGCAGGTGGGTGGTATTGAGGTTGGCAGCAGGTGGGTGGTATTGAGGTTGGCAGCAGGTGGGTGGTATTGAGGTTGGCAGCAGGTGGGTGGTATTGAGGTTGGCAGCAGGTGGGTGGTATTGAGGTTGGCAGCAGGTGGGTGGTATTGAGGTTGGCAGCAGGTGGGTGGTATTGAGGTTGGCAGCAGGTGGGTGGTATTGAGGTTGGCAGCAGGTGGGTGGTATTGAGGTTGGCAGCAGGTGGGTGGTATTGAGGTTGGCAGCAGGTGGGTGGTATTGAGGTTGGCAGCAGGTGGGTGGTATTGAGGTTGGCAGCAGGTGGGTGGTATTGACGTTGGCAGCAGGTGGGTGGTATTGAGGTTGGCAGCAGGTGGGTGGTATTGAGGTTGGCAGCAGGTGGGTGGTATTGAGGTTGGCAGCAGGTGGGTGGTATTGAGGTTGGAAGCAGGTGGGTGGTATTGAGGTTGGCAGCAGGTGGGTGGTATTGAGGTTGGCAGCAGGTGGGTGGTATTGAGGTTGGCAGCAGGTGGGTGGTATTGAGGTTGGCAGCAGGTGGGTGGTATTGAGGTTGGCAGCAGGTGGGTGGTATTGAGGTTGGCAGCAGGTGGGTGGTATTGAGGTTGGCAGCAGGTGGGTGGTATTGAGGTTGGCAGCAGGTGGGTGGTTTTGAGGTTGGCAGCAGGTGGGTGGTATTGAGGTTGGCAACAGGTGGGTGGTATTGAGGTTGGCAGCAGGTGGGTGGTATTGAGGTTGGCAGCAGGTGGGTGGTATTGAGGTTGGCAGCAGGTGGGTGGTATTGAGGTTGGCAGCAGGTGGGTGGTATTGACGTTGGCAGCAGGTGGGTGGTATTGAGGTTGGCAGCAGGTGGGTGGTATTGAGGTTGGCAGCAGGTGGGTGGTATTGAGGTTGGCAGCAGGTGGGTGGTATTGAGGTTGGCAGCAGGTGGGTGGTATTGAGGTTGGCAGCAGGTGGGTGGTATTGAGGTTGGCAGCAGGTGGGTGGTATTGAGGTTGGCAGCAGGTGGGTGGTATTGAGGTTGGCAGCAGGTGGGTGGTATTGAGGTTAGCAGCAGGTGGGTGGTATTGAAGTTGGCAGCAGGTGGGTGGTATTGAGGTTGGCAGCAGGTGGGTGGTATTGAGGTTGGCAGCAGGTGAGTGTGGATGTCTAGGCATTATTACTGGCATAGAAACCAAGGTCAGAGACCATGGAGCGGCAGATCCTGGGCTCCGACCCCGCCGTGCAGATTCCCCTCTATGAGTTCCGATTGCCCGCAAGTGTATTGAAATTCCGAGTTGTCACCAAGAGAGTGTTGAGATGGCCAGCAGGTGAGTGTTACGGTCGTAAGCAGGTGAGAATCCCACCACACCGTATTCCTTCGATCGAGTCTTGATTGATTCCCGTCCTCTCAGTTTAAGACCATCCCTTTCCCTCATCCCGACCCTCCTTGTCTATCTCCCCGTCTTTCCCAACATTCGTTACGTCCTCCCTCTCTCCTCTGTGCACATCACAAAAGAGGCAGAGGGCTGGGATTGCGGATGCCATCGAACCCCTAGCTGAAGGTTACCTGTTTCAACTCCTAGAACCCCCGCTTGGACCCCTTGTGGACCAGGCGGGTGGCGAGTAGGATGATTGCCTCACCATCAACCTTGCATGCTTGTATGCATAGTGTTTATTAATACAACGGACCATTCGAGGGCTTCTCTCTCTCAATTTTGTTCCTCCCCTCCCCATCATCCCCCCACCATTTGCCATCATTCCCACGCACCAGAGCTGCTCCTCCGTGCATTTCTGCCTCCTGCCGTCCCCGTTTGCCACCGTCGCCCCCACCACCAGAGCTGCCCCTGTATCTCCTGCTCGGCCTGTGCTGTGGGGGGGTGTCCATCGCGCTCACCCGCTCAGCCCGCCTCGCCACACACGCCTTTGACCGCCTGCTGCTGCTCTCCCCGCTGCCCCCTGCACTGCTGCCGGCCCTGGGGGGACTGTCAGTGGGAGTGATCTCCCTGGCCTACCCCGAAGTGCTCTACTGGGGCTTCCAGAACATCAACGACCTCCTTGGATCCAGACCGCTTGCCAGTGCGCCTCAGGTACAGTGCAGTACTCCCCCCTGTATCACCCTCTTCTCCCTTTTCCTGCTGCCTGCTGCACTGCTGCCGGCCCTAGGGGGCTTGTCAGTGGGAGTGATCTCCCTGGCCTATCCCGAGGTGCTCTACTGGGGCTTCCAGAATATCAACGACTTGCTGGGCTCCAGGCCGCTTGCCAGTGCGCCTCAGGTACAGTGCAGTACTCTTCTTCCTTCCCCTCCCCTCTCCATTCCTCTTACCCCTCTCATCTCTCTGGCCTACCCCATTGGTTCTTCCAGAGCATCGATAATTTGCTCTGCTCCAGACTGCATGTCGGTGCGTCTCAGGTGAGGGTGCAGCAGGAGGCTTGGAGGCTCTTCCCATTCACTGCTGAGTGCAGCATTGGTGTGTCATCTCCTGCAGATCACTGCTGACACACCATGCGCTGGTGTACCGGTGTGTGGCGTGTGCACCACACCACACCACACCACACCACACCACACCACACCACACCACACCACACCACACCACACCACACCACACCACAGTCGTGGCCAGTCCAGACCCTCACAACGTGACTTCCCCCTCCGGCTAGCAGCCCTCGAGGTCGCTACCACAGATCAGGCCTGGTGACTGTTCAGTCTACTCAAAAGTCACCTCGCTGCCTCCTCACTGCTTTCTCTCCTTCCCTCCCCTCTCCCCCCTTTCTTCCAACTCTCTCAGGTGGACTTTCTCCTGCAGCTAGTGGCCCTCAAGGTGCTTGCCACCGCCATTTGCCGTAGGTCGGGCCTGGTGGGCGGCTTCTACTCTCTCACTTCACCAAGCAGCAGTCCTCTCTCCTTCCACTCACTCAAAAGCCATCCTTCCCACCCTGCTTTCACTCTCTTAGGTGGACTTTCTCCTGCAGCTAGTCGCCCTTAAAGTGCTTTCCACGGCCATTTGCCGCGGGTCGGGCCTGGTGGGCGGCTTCTATGCGCCGTCACTGTTCATCGGGGCGGCACTGGGGCAGGCGTATGGGCGGCTAGCGAGTAACGTGCTGCTAGCTGTGGACCCCGAGTACAACCTGCAGTGGATCCAAGTGGCTGCCCCACAAGCGTATGCCATGGTGGGTTGGGAGGGTGGTTGGGTGACATGACTTCACGGTCTGTTTGGCATGGCAGGAAAATGAAAAACAAACACTGAGTAGATCAGCATTGCATGTACCAGTAACGTGCTGGTGGCTGTCGACCCCGAGTACAACCTGCAGTGGATCCAAGTAGCTGCCCCACAGGCCTACGCCATGATGGGTGATGGGACGGAGGGTCTGTCCACTGCTGCATAAGAGAGCCATGGTCAGTCCGTTCCCTTAGTGCAGGTATACGGACGGCTGGCAAGTGACATGCTGGTGGTCTCTGTGGACCCGGAGTATAACCTGCAGTAGATACAAGTAGCCGCTCCTCAAGTGTAACCGACCAGACACAGCGACTCTGGTTCGCCGCCGAACTCCAGGGCGGCGTCACGTGTGTCAGCGAGATAGTTGAGGCAGCGGTCAACCTCACGCCAGTGCTTGTTGCTCCTCATCATCATGTCGGGCCCCAGCTTACAGCAAGCGAAGGGGATGTCCGACTCCGTCATCGTGGCAGAAAATTGCAACGAGCCTACCTTTTGCCGGTATTCCTCCTCCTCGCGCGACCGAGACTCCTCATCGTCGAGCGTCCGCTCGGCTTAGGCGTCGACGAAGACCGGCGTCTTCGGAATTCCCCTAGTTTGCTCCCCGTCGATGAAGAGCTTACGCAGCTTGTCGACGTAGGCCTACAGCTTCTTCGCAGATCGTTCGCGCACGATGTCTAGCCCCAGGTATTTCTCCACCAGGCTGATCTCGCGCAGCTCAACCTCAAGCGGCTCCTTCGGCATTGCGGTGTTGCTGCTGGCGGCCAGCAGGCCGTCGACGTAGACGAGAAACTAGCACGCCACTCCATCGATGCCAACCTTGAAGTCTAACCCCTCGTCGACCTGACTCTTGCTCCAGCCGGCGCCGGTCAGAACGGCGTCGAGTGCCGAATACCATAGCGACGGCGACTGCTTGAGGTCGTACAATCTCTTCAGCAGCTTGCATATGCGGCCGGTCTCGTCGTCGTAGTAGTCGGCCTGGTACATGTAGAGCACACGGTCGAGCTTACTCTGCAGGAAAGCGTTCTTCATGTCGAGCACCAGGTGCAAGTCGAGGATGGCAACGTAAGATCCTCAGCTTGACGCAACTCCTGACCAGCAAGTATATCTCGTCGTAGTCGACGTTGTACACCTATGTGAAGTCCTTCACGACCAGGCGCGCTTTCTCACGGGCGACCGTGTTGTCGATGTGGTACTTCGTCATCAGTACCCACCGGTTCTCCATCACGTTGACACTGCGCAGGCTCTTGACGAGCTCCCATGTGCCTTTGGTGATGAGGCTCCGGTCCTCCTTGTCCATGGCGGCCTTCCATCTTGCCAACACCTCCTTCACCGTCATGGTCGCGATGTCCAAACAGTGTTTCGGGCCGACGTGCATGTCGGGGTCGAGCTCGGGCTAGTCGATGTCGGCCTGCACGTCGTCGAGCAGCGCGCTGGAGGCGGTTGTCGGCACGTAGGCGTGGTAGCTCCACTTCTCCGAAGGCTTGCCAAGGTTGGAAAGGTGGAGCGTCACGGTTTCACCTCGTCCACCAGGACCTCTACCACGTCAGCACTGCTCCCCTGCCGACAGCTCCCCTTCATCGCCGCCGTCTTCGTCTACTCCGTCGTCGAGCTGCTTCTCCATAGTTGGCACCTCGGCCGACATCTCTGTTGCGGACAGCTCCCCTGTCAACTTCTCCGGCAGCTGCTCCCCTGTCCTCGGCTCCCCTGTCGTCGGCGGCTTCTCTCCCACGCCGACTTGCTTGACGTCACATTGGCCACTGGCAATGCCACTGGACGGCGCCACAGGCGACGCAACAATTCTCCCCTCGTCGCCGGCGGCCGACGTAGGCGTCGAGTGAGGCAAGTCGGCGACGGGGCATGGGGGTGAAACCACTGCGGAAGGTGGCGAGGGCGCTGACAATATAGTAGCAGGAACAACAGGAGGAGGAAGATTGGGGTCGTCCTCAGCGTCCTCGGCATCAGGTTCACCGACCACTGCGAGTAGCGGAAGCGTCGCTGAGGAAGAATCCGTCGGCGAGGAAGCCTGCATCTGCGCCGACGTCGGGCAATGCTCCACCTTCCACACCTCGAACGACAGGGTCTCATGGAGGATTGCCTCCACCGTGGTGACGACCTTGTTGTCGGTGAGGTTGAGGACCTTCCAGCCCTTACTCTCCGGCGAGACATCGAGGTGGAGCCCTCAGCGAGCCTTTTGCGCCAATTTCCCGCCACGCTGCTGCTCGGGAACCATGAACTGCACCATGCAGCCCCAAGCGCGCGCTAGCGTGAGGTCGGTCTTTTTGCCGGTCAGCAGCTCGTGCGGTGTTGTTCCTGGCGGCAGCGAAGCTCGCTCGAGGCAGTTTCGCATCCAAACGGCCTGTCGCAAGGCGAGGTGCCACCACTGATGCGTCACGCCCATGTGAAGCAGCACTGTCCAAACGGCCTCGACGACCGCTCAGCCATGCCGTTTGGCTGCGGAGTGCAGGGGCAGGTCAGGTCGTGGACAATACCCTTGTGGTCGACGAAGTCAGTGAACGCCTTCCCAAGGAATTCACCTCCGCAGTCAGAGCGGAGCATCATGGCCGACTTCTTGGTCTGCCGCTCCACGACCTTCAGCCACTTTACGAACGCTCCGAGCACGTCGATCTTCTTGACGACCGGCCACACCCGCACATAGCGCGTCTTCCGGCCCTTCAGGAGAAAAACCGTAGAGGCCGACATCCTTGGCGGCCACCCGGAACGGCCCGCATAGGTCGACGTGAACATCGTCGAGGGCATTCTCAGCATCCGATCCCTTGTCGGAGAAGGTGTGCCGCGCCAGCTTGCTCCTAACGCAGGAGACACATGGCAGGTCAGCTTCGATCGACAGCTTGATGTCCAGGCCGGTAGCGACCTCATGCTTCGCCGAGCTCTTGATTGTGTCGACGCTGGCGTGCGCGAGCCTCGCGTGTGACATGCCCGGCGTCGACTTCGTCGTTGAGGCGATTGTCCGCAGGGCCACCGTTTCCTTCGAAGTCGTCGTCGACTTCGTTGAGCATGGGCGAAGGTCGGTGCAGATGATTCGGCCGTTATAATGCGCCCGACCAAGAACATCCCGTTTCGCCAAGACGAGCATCATCTTGTCGCCGTCTTCCTGCAGCTTCACGCCGCCATCCTTCAGCTTGCCGGCCGACAGCATTTTCGCCTGCACGCGTGGGACGTAGAGGACGTCGGGGACGAGGATCTGCTTCCCGCCTTCCCCTTACAGAGCGACGGTGCCGCGGCTCTGGACGACCTGAATCGCCCCACTGAAGCAACATGTCGACTAAGGCCTCCTTCTTCCACATCAGGTGATGAGAACAGCCGCTGTCGAGCAGCACCACCATTGGGTTCGCCTGCACAGCGACGACGACCACCTTGAAGTCCTCGCCGGCCTCCGACGCCAGCGAGATCGTCGGCTCCACCACGCCGACCATCGAGCACGAGGCTGCTCCGTTGCCACGTGCATTGTCGCTGGAGGAGTCGGCGTTCTTCGCCGACGACGTCTTCGACGTCTGCTTCTCCTTGCGGGGCTAATTTTCTCAACGTCGAGGACCGCCGTCAGACTTTTCGCGGCCTCCCTTGTGGTCGTCCTCGTCGGACTCCTCGCGGTCGGGACAACCGTAGGAGAGGTGGTCGGTGTCGCCACAAACCCAGCACTTACGCCGTCTTTGACGTTGACTGCCGTACACGTCGTTGTCCCGAGCCGACTTCGTTCGGTCGGCGTCCTTCGCCGACTTCCCACCTCCGCTTCCACCTCCGCCACACTTCCCACGTTGCCCCTGCAGACATCCCTGCTTCGTCGGGGCGACGTAGTTGGCCTGCGGAAGGAGCTTCGTAGGCCTCTCAAACTCTTGCATGAACTCATCGTTGGTGATGTGGCTCGACAAGGAGTTCTTGTTGTGCGACTCGCGCGAGGTGGGCATCGCCAGCATCTGGCGCATTAGGTTATAGCCAGTTGGAAGACTCTTGATGACGTGCGTGATATAGAACGCCGCCGAGTAGTCGACGGCGACCATTCACAAGTCGGTCAGAATCCCCTAACCGTAGTTGCAGTACTCGGCCGCCGACTCCTGCTCGCCCATCCTTATGTTCGTCAGTCGCTACTCCAGCTGGTCGATGTACAGACCGTGGGTCGCTTTGTAGGTGCGCATAATGAACTGCCACGCTTGGTGGCCGGCGTCCACCTGAAGTCGGCACGACGTCAAGGCATATTGCACAATCGACGAGAAGCACCGCGAGATAACCATGAAGGTCAGCAGGTGAGCGACTCGAAATTCCGCCCAGAGCTCGCGTCCTCCTCGTCAAGAGCCTCCACTCCGCCGTCGGTGAACTTATTCCCGATCTCCAGATGTGGCTCAATCGACTCCGTCCAGGTGAGAAGGTCATGTCGACCTTCCAACAACTTGGGCACGGCGATCTTGTCAAGCGAAAACTTGAAGTAGCCATACGCGGGCGCGATCCCTCCGTCCCGCCCAGCCGACATGTGAGTCGCCGACGTCGGCCCGACACCACTCTGCTGGGGAGAGCGACGTCGTCCACCGACGTCACCTTGCGAGCTGCCTGCAGCCGCCGTCGATCGCAACCCTCGTGCCTGCATCCCATCGACGCCGGCGTCGGCGGCCCCGATCACTCCACGAGTCACCCTCGTGCCTCCTCTACTGCCGCCGTCGACCTGGTCGTCGGCGCCGTCTTCGTTGTGCACGGGTCGGGAAGAGGCGGACACACCGTCCGCTTTAGCGCCCACTGTGCACGAGCTCCCTGGAGCATCTACTCCAGCGGTGCTCCGCCGTACTCGCCAACATCGTGGCGCCGCCGAACATCAGCCTCTCGTGCCTTCAAGGTCTCCTCTACATCTGCGGCTTCTACCAGGGTGGGCACCATGCTTTACACGGGCTGCCAGCCTAACAATGACTTAGGTAAGCGGTAGGTCGGCTACTCTCTGAAGGTAATCTGCGAAGTCGACCACGCTCATCGCACCATGCGGAGAGTCACTCTGCACCAGAAGTTGGACTACGTAGGAGGGCACGGGTGGTACGAGTGATCGTAGCGTTCTTTGTGTTCTCATATAAAATATAGTTTGACAGTACTTGTGAGTTCATAGGGCAAAACGGCAAGAGTTTCACTAACAAAAAAAAAATTCACAATGATTCACAATAGTTGGGCAAAGATGACTACATCTGGGACCTAGCAAGCCTAGCAAGCAGGCAGGTCGGCCTCCAGCTCAGCACGAGAGTGGCCTGCCAGCGCGGCAAGTCGGCGACCTGCCAGCAGCGCACCAGCGCGGCTCGCCAATGCTGCAGCAAGGCGGCTTGCCAGCGTTGCAACCCGGCGACCTGCCAGCAGCGCACATGCGCGCACCCACTTCGCAAGTGCTAGCGGACGGTTGAGCACGTTGTGCACTGTCACGCACATTGCGCAGGTGCCATGTCGGCCACGTGCCGACGGTTGCGCCAGATGCACCACGTCGACCACGTGACGCTGCACGTCGGTCAACTTCGCCACAACAACCTGAACGACGTTTGTGCATTCCCGCGGAACCTCGTCGACCAGGAAACTCGGTTGACCTGGTGAGGCCAGTCGTCGCCCACAAGTCGGCGTCCTTTACGTCGGTGTCTACCCGTCGATGACCTTCGTGGTCGACTGCCGAAGCCCATCGATGCCCGCAGGTCGATGAACTCCTTCGTCGACCACCCGAGTCGAAGCCGTCCGTCTACTTCCCTCGTTAGCGACTCTGCTATGGTCCCGCGGAAGTCGACCAAATCTGTCGACTTCCCTACCCAAGTCGGCGTCGATCAATGACAACAGCCGGCTGCACCTCCAGCACACCCGACTGTGAAGTCGGCTTCGCCCAAGCGAGGGCATGGCCATCTTTCCCGTCAACAGCAGCATGGCATGGTGCAGCATGGCATAGAGCAGCATGGCATGATGCAGCATGGCATGATGCAGCATGGCATGGAGCAGCATGGCATGCTGCAGCATGGCATGATGCAGCATGGTGTGGCCCTGTCTCCTTGTCACCTTGTCCCTTTATTCTCCCAGTCTCTTTGTCTCATTTTCCCCTGTCTCCGTGTCCCCCTCTACTTCTGCTCCCCTCACCCCTTTCATATAACCCTCACCTTCCAGGTGGGCATGGCAGCAACACTGGCAGGAGTGTGCCAGGTGCCACTCACATCGGTGCTGCTCCTCTTTGAACTCACTCGTGACTACCGCATTATCCTGCCCCTCATGGCCGCTGTTGGCATCGCTTCTTGGATCGCTGCTCCTGCCACCACACCACCATCATCCCCATTACCAACAGCACCAGCTGCAGCAGCCGCAGCAGTCACGGTATCAGCAGCAGCAGCCCCCACTCTTGCACTTGCAGCAGAGCAGCAGTCAACATCCTCCTCCCAACCACTATCCTCTTTAGAAGCAAGACCCGCCTCTTCCTCCTCTCTCCTCTCACCCATTCCTCTCCCGCTCGCCATCGCCTCCCCGGGGGACTACACAGATTTTGCAGACGACTCGGCATCGCTGGACGTGCGCGACGGAGTGCTGCTGGAGGAGCAGGTGCAGCGCGACCTCCCTGTCTCCACCGCCATGCGCCCCGCCTCCAGCCCCTCAGTCGCCGCCGTGCCGCTGCTGCTGGTGCGCCCACGCGGGTACAGCCCACAGGAAAGGGGATCTGAAGAGGCGGAGAACAGAGTGCAGGCAAGTGGGGTGAGGGAGGAGCAGTATAGGGCACAGGAAAGGGGTGGAGAGGTGGAGTATAGGCCGAGCACGGTCGGGGAGGCGGTGGCAGCGATGGTGGCGAGCCGGCAGTGGTGCTGTGTGGTGGTGGGGGATGGGGGGCGGTTGGAGGGGTTGCTTACACTGGTGGACGTGCAACAGGAGGTGGAGAGAAGGGTTGCTGCAGAGAGAAGGGGAGCAGGGAGAGGAGCCAGGGGTGGGAGGAGAGGGCGAGGAGGGAGAAAATCGAGAGGGGGAGCAGGGGGGGGAGGGAGGGAGGGAGCAGGAGAAGAAAGCAGTGGAGAGAGCGATGGGAGTGGTGGGGAGGGTAACACCAGTGGCACTGGTGCAGCTGATGGTGGTGCTGCAGCCGGGGTGAGCACCACCAATGTGACAGTAAAGGGGGCGGTGGAGGGTCTACCAGTGTCGGTGCTATGCACGCCATGGCAGCAGCTGGAAACCATCTCCCCAGGCGCCTCTCTGTACGAGGCTAGAAGGAGGCTCACTGCCCGAGGCATCCGGCAGCTGCCTGTGGTGCTTCAGGTGGCGACACGGAGAGGGGAGGGGAGAGGGGGAGAGGGGCAAGCGGGAGAAGGGAATGAGGAGGGAGAGGATGGGCGTGGGGTGGAGGGAGGCGGGAGGAGAGTGGGGACGGATGAGGTTGGAAGGGAGACGATGCGATTTGACGATGGGGAGGGGAGGGAGGAGAGGGGGAGTGACTTGCTGCTGGTGGGGCTGCTGGACCGGGACGACATTGCACGTGCCTGCAGGTACGTGCATCGGCTTTCCCTGTCTTGCAGGTGGGTGCAGGTGGGTGGATTGGCCTTGCCATGTCTTGCATGAGCATGCATGCAGGCACAGCTGCTCGTGCGTTGCTTCATGCACATTGGCCTTGTTCAGTGCCGGCGTTTGACGCGCCTTGGATAAGCAATCTGCGGTTGATGTCCCCTACATGCTCCGTACTTCCTCCTTTCCTCCCCCATTGGCCTGGCTCTCCATCCCTCACCTTCTCTCCCCCCTCTCCCTCTCCTGCTCCATCTCACCCTCCCCTTGTGACCTCTCTGCCCCTCTCTTCTCTGCAGGGCTGAGGCAACCAAACGGCTGCTACAGCTTTAGTATCCAGCTGTTACAGCTCGACGGCTCAGCTGCTACAGCTCTGTAGTCCTCACTACCCTTCGAGCCTGCCGACTCAACCATGGCTTTGCCACTCATTGCCACATTCTGTTAGGTCGTATCCCTGGCTGGTGGCAAGAAGTTGGTGGCAAGAAGTTTCCGCACGCGATTGGTCCAAAACAGACGCCCGGCCAATGACATTGGTCAAGCGTCTTTTAAAACCAATCGCGTGCGCAAAATTCTTGCCACCAACTTCTTGCCACAAGCCAGGGATACGACCTTAGTCCAATGGAATGTGTACGGTACCTATAGCAAAACAACATTTTTATTCATTCTGTACATAGTTCAATGTCAATGCTTTTGCTGTGGCAATCAGAAAAAGGGTCGTAATTTTGTCAGAATTCTTTGCAGTGTTGCAGCAGCATAAATGGTTTAATTGGTACAGTGACCCAACTCTTCACAACTCTGCTTGCCCATTCGCCTGTGGCTGTGCCCAGCACTGCCCATGCACCTGTCTGTGCAACTGACCTCGCTGTAGCCACCATTCCCACAACTCTCCTTACCAACTCTCTTGCCATTTCCCCCACAAACACTATCCTCAATATCCCTGCAGCCGTCCCTGCTCTTAAGCTTCCCACTCTTCTTCCCGATGCTCCTGCCGGGGCATGTGAGCTTGTGGGAGGGCCAGTGCGCCTTTTGGCACTCTCTGCTGCATTACGCCACCTTGCCACACCCATAGCAATTTTTCAGCTTCACAGCACCACCCTCCACCCTCCCACACCCCGCAGCACCGCACACACGGCCTTGCACGTCTGGAACAGCAGCAGCACGTATGCTCGTTGAAGCAGCAGAAGTGGTGGCAGCAGGAGTGGGAGAAGCAGCAGGGGTGGCAGCAGGGGTGGGAGAGACAGCAGGGGTGGGTGAGGCAGCAGGACAAGAAGACACAGCAGCAGCAGTATAGGTGGAAGACGCAGCAGGGGTGGAAGGGGCAGCAGGGGAGGCAGGGCGGTAGCAAGACTCCCCCAGCAGCATCTCTCGCAGACATGCCACCAGATTGACTCCCCCCGGCCATGCCTTTAGATAAGCCTCCTCCTCCCTCTTCCTTCTCTTTCCGTTGCTGAAGCTGCTTTTGTTGCTGCTGCTGCTGCTGCTACTGCTGCTGCCAGTGCTACTGCTGCTTCCAGTGCTGCTGCTGCTGCTGCTGCTGCTGCTGCTGCTGCTGCTGCTGCTGCTGCTGCTGCTGCTGCTGCTGCTGCTGCTGCTGCTGCCAGTGCTGCTGGTACCCTTGGCAGACCCACGCTGCAGCCCCTCACAGTACCTGGGCGAGATGGCTGCATTGAGAAGCCACGTGATGTCACACTCCTCATCCGTCCTCTCCTGCTCCCTGCCACCTCTGCACTCCTTGCTCTCTCCCTTACCCTCCACGTTGAACATCCATGCAGCCATATCTGCAGAATACCACATCCGCACCTCCTCCCACACCTCTCCACCGTTTTCCTGATCCATCTCACCATCCCAGCAGGCTTGCGCCTTCACCCTGCCACCTTTGCCCCCTTTCTCGGCACATTCCTTTCGTGAACCTGACCGAATTCCCTTCTTTCCCACTGTAGCCAACTCTGAAACCATCGCTTTCCAGAAGAGCAGGAGCGCACCAGACCGACATGTGAATGAGCAGGTTGAGAGGCACCTGCTCGGCGCGCCTCAGCAGCATGTGCAGGTTCACGGGCTGGGGCAGGGATGCAGGGAGCTCCAAGCACTCAACGAGATCGTTAAAGCCAGAGGAGGAGGGCGGGAAGACTGAGAGCACGCGGGAGAACAGATGGCTGACGGGGCGGTAGGCGAAGTTGGCGATGAGAGCAGCGGTGCACAGATGTCGCAGGTACTCACAGGAGCAGCGCCTGCACTGGGTGCAGGCAGGAGGGTCCATGATGTACCCAGCAAACCCCACCAGAAAGTCCACATCTGCCAGGCAGCGAACAATCGGAAGCTTCCTTCTGGGCGGCGGTAGTGTCGGTGCTTTCAGCTCAGCGGTTCGGTGTGCTTCGGCTCTTCCACTCGCTGTCCTCTGCATGAATTTCGCCCACATTCCTTTCGCTTTTGCCTTGGAGACACTTGCACTCCTGCTGCCTCCTGCTTCAGCTTCCTGGCTACCTCCTTGCCCTTCTGCATCGGATCCTTCTTCCTTTGCACGCCTGCTTCTCTGTACTGCTTCTGAAGTGCAACGAAGAGGTTCCTTGGTCAGCTTCTCTGCTGCTTCACCACACCCCTCCACAATCCCAAGCCCAAAACACCTCTCCTTGCGATTGGCAGGAAACTTCACAGCAGCTTCATCGCCCCCGGGCCACTCCTCCCACTCCAAAGGAACGTTTCTTCCCTGCAAAGGCTTGGGAATGGTGCCGAACCTGACAAGTAGGCTCGGAAGGTCCCGAAGCGGGTGGCGCATGGGCAGGACCTTGCTCTGAGGGTTGTCCTCGAAGCACTCTTTCTCCGAGATTGAATCCGAGCCATAGACTCGGACCCACTGCAAGATGCAACCGACCCGATACGTGAGAGCAGCAACCACAGAATTCGTAATGACAGCCACGGGCTTATTGGCAGGTATATCACTCATATCAACGCTTGCAGTTGCAGTATCAGGTGGCGCTTCTCCTACACCTGCTCCTGCTCCTTCATCCATCCTCGTGTGCTTCAGGCTATGCAGTAGAAGCCTCTTCCTGGCCACCAGAATAGCTGCCCTCTCTACCTGCACCTTGCTCGCAGTGTTCCCATCATGGAACAACAGCTCTGCATCCTTCCAGTGCTCTGGTTCAGATAAAACTGTGGTGACAGCAAGGGCGAAATCAGTCGCATTCACACCACTCACATGCATACCCCTTGGAGCACTGCCGCTCTTACTGCTGCTGCCTGAACTGCTGACGCTGCTGTTGCTGCTGCACCTGCTGAAGCTGGTGCTGCTGCTTCTGCCGACGCTGTTGCTGCTGAGTCTGCTACCATTGCCACTGCCGCTACCGCCACCACTGCTGCTGCTGCCGCTGCTGCTGCCACCGTCACTGCACCGGAACTCCCTCCCTTCCCCCCCTCCATGCTCCAGTATCCAAGCCATGCCATCCACATATTTCTCCCACGCAGGTCCCTTCAGAGTATCCCTCCACTTCACGTCCTTCATTCCCCTACTGCACTTGCCAGCACCCCCCCCAATTCCTACTTTTCTCTCTGCCTCTTCCTCTCCGTGTCTCCCATCGTCCTTCGCATGTGAAGCCATGCATCTCCCTTTCCCCTTCCTGTGCACCTTCTCAGCAGCCTTCTCCTCAGCTTTCCCCTTCCCCTTCCCCTCCATATGCGTTTTCTCAGCATCCTTACCCCTAGCTCCCCCGTTACCCCCCGCATGCGCCTCCTCCAGCCCGCCTGATAGCAGTTGCTGCACAAAAAACCCAAACCCTTCCTGAAGATCAGCACTCTCCTTCACCCCCAGCACCTGAACCAGCATGGAAGCGAAATTGTTACACTCCCTCTGCCTGGTCGCCCCCAGCTCAGTTGCAATTGCTGGCCAGGCAGACGAGTAGGAACCTAAGCGTGCTTTCCATAGAGTCACAAGGCGGGAGGATCTCGCTACAAGCACAAGGAACGTTGAGTAGCTGACAGCACGGCGGTAGGCAGCCCAGCAGCTGCTGCAGCGCCAGCAGCAGGACCACGCAGCAGCAGCAGCAGGGGTAGGAGGAGCAGCAGCGCTAGCAGGAGCAGGAGAAGAGGAAGCAGCAGCAGGAGCAGCTGCAGTGGCACAGAGAACAGTAGGCAGGCCGGATCTGATCCTCCCCAGGTCCATGAGCACGCCCACACGAGGCTCAGCCATCCACTCGAGAAGCATGGCTTCCGCACAAAGGCGAGGCGCTCTTTCTGGCTTCCGTGCAGACTGCCGTTGGAGGCAACTCCCATGTCCCTCTCGTAGAGCCTGCACTGATGGACCTTTAGCGGATTCAAAAGCGGCCTGGTTGGGCTGCTGCTGCTCCGGGATGGAGCGAGGCTGCTGCTTGCGCAGGTGGCGACGCAAGTCCTCCAGGTTCTCCATGGCAAGAGCTCGCCGTGCTCTCTGACTCACGGCACGGTCAAAGCAGCACGCGCACAGTTCCTCATCCCACCCGCTCGTTACATCCAAGTAATGAACCATGTCAGCGTGACACAGCAGCTGGCGCGGTTTCAGACTGTCCTCTGTACTCGCTTCCTCTGCTGCCCCTCCGCTGGCCTCATCGGGCTGACCCGGTGCACCCTGATCGATTTGGACTGCAGAACTTTTTTTCCGCTGCAGAGATTCAAGAGTTCCCAAGTGCTCTTCCAATTGCTCAATGGATTGTAACAGGAGTGTCCCTTGCACAGTACATTCCTCGTCCTTCTTCGCTTTCACTTGCTCTGCTTCCCCACCTGCTGCCCCAGTGAATTGTTCCGGTCCACTCCTCTCGGTCCGGAGTGCCAAGCGCAACGCCTCCTCTTTCAACTTCTGAACAGACTCCGCCAAGGAATCCGCGTTCGTTGCAACTTCCTCTTCCTTGTTCTTGCTGCTGCCAGCACCAGAGCCACGGCACTTCAACTCTGCTCCTCCCTTCGCCTTGTGCCCCTGGCCTTCCTTGCTACTGTCAGCATCAGGCTCACGGCACTTCAGCCCTGCTCCGCCCACCCCTGGTGAAGTTCCTCTCCTCGGCTTCCGTCCCTCTCCTCCCATGCTGCTCGGCTCGATAGGGTCCAATTTGCTGGTAGAAGCATCAGCAGGTGCAGCAGCAGGATTAGATGAGTTTTGAGTTGACCCAAAAGTCAGCTCGTGCTCTTCGACTTCCATGCTGCTCGGCTCGATAGGGTCCCCTTTGGTGGTAGGATAATCAGTCGCAGCAGCAGAATTAGTAGGAGAAAGAGAATCCGAAGGAGGAGAAACTGCAGTTGCAGATGCAGGAGTAGGAGCATCCCGTAACTTCTTGACCTTTTCATCGCCCTTAGTCCTTCCATCTTGAATTACTGTTTCCAGGGAAACCACGATGATGGTTGTGCCCGCGCTAAGCTTCGCTTGCTCAACGGTCAAGTCAGGGAAAAGGCACCCTTGCTGCCCAACAACCATGAACCGAATTTGCTGCTTCCGACTTGCAGAGTCTAGCTCAACCGCTTTCAACCCATCTTGACCTCCCTGGCGCTGACTCGTATCGCATGGCAGACAGCAGTTGGGCAGGTGGGACTGAAACAACCGGTTAAAAACTGATGACAGAAGTTCGTCAGGAGCAACAGTAAGAAAAACATCCACGTGTGATGCAGTCGGCTTGACGCATCCTGCGGGCTCGCCGCTCGTACCCTTGAATCCACAGTTCGTAAGACTAGCAGGAATTTTAAATTTGGCCTTGAAAGCCATGTCGGATGTGAACTTGCAGGGCTCTTATCGAAATTGCTAATTATCAGCCGAAGCAGCCATTGGTATTCAGATCCGTCGGTCTGGAACGGAAAGGCCGGTAAGAGAGCTGTCTCATTCGATGACTGAACACCAGACTGTGATCGCCAAGTAAGCTGAGGCTATCAAATGACGCCTTCCCATCCATGCGACGCTTTCGAATCCATGCGACGCTAAGCGACGCGTTTCTATTTGCCAAGCCATGCGAGGTTTCTTCAAGTGTGACCACCGTTTTGAGGAAGCATCAAACCATCCAATCAAGTTGAGCCTCATGGAGTACGTGAGTCCTTGACGATCCATTCTTATCGCATAACCTGCTGCCATCCCACGGCCGTCGATGCGTCGACTGAACACGCTGGATGTTGTCATGGGATGGGAACTCCAATCTCACATGTGAGTGGAAAAGCGCAATCGGACCGTCCGTTTCCGCACAAGTCTAATCGGGTGTAGAATATTACTCGACAAGGTGTCAGCTGATCTAAGCTGTCGTCCCGACACGACCTAGGTTGCTGCGGTGGGATCAGCTTCGATGTTGCCATGGCTGAAATAGGAATGCCTGATGAGTCAGATGTGAATTGTGCAATTGTCAGATCGCAGGCAGTGGTCTGGAACAGGGCTGTCGATTGCTCTGGGGCGAGAACTTGGAAGGCTGAGCTGCCCCAAAATGTGCCCTTAAATTTACGTTTTGGGGCCAAACTCAACACTTGAAATCAGGGCTACAAAGTGCTATGCACTTTTGCTAAGACAAGAAACCACCCTGGATTTGCACTGCCATCCGAATTGATTCGTCACGCGCCTGCTAGTCACTGAATGGAACCTCTTAGCGGAAAGAATCGGCAACAACGCCGAACCCACTCAAAGTTGTAAGGGTGAAGTGAAGTACTGGGACCTCTCTAGTACTATATGTGTAGCCCTACCCAGATCTGGCACTAAGTTTGTACTTCGATACTACTTTCTTTCTGACTTGCAGCTTGGGTTCTGACTTCGAAAAAAATTACGGTTCAGGCCTCGACCTTGAGAGTGTCAGAGTACATCAAAACTGGCTCTTGGGAAAGTTATACTGCACCTGGGCCTGGGATGACGGGAAATGGGGAGGGTTCGGGAGGAATCAGTTCGAAGGAGAAGGGCTAGCCCCAAGGCTGATACTTGAAATCCGGGTTAGTCCCGAACACAGCACTTTAGGCGGACGGGCTGACCTGAAACCCAGCCCTTAAATTCGGCGACCTAGGGCTAGGCCGAACTCAACCCTTAATTTCAGGGAATTAAGGGCATTTGCCCTTGTAGCGACAGGCCTGGTCTGGAATTGTCAATTGTCCTTGCCTCGAGTTCCATCCAAAGCTATAATTGCAAAATTCCTCATCGAACCATTCTGAACCTCATTGAACCTATCCGCAATATTCAGCGATTCCATACGCAATTGGGTGGGGATCAACCTTCGGTTGCCTTCGGTTCACTGACTCAGTCCGCCGTGTCTGATGTTTGCCTTGCTATCCATGCTGTACAAGAAATCAGGGTGGTGCATTCAGGAAATTCAGTACAGTGGTGGTGAAAAATCACCTTAAAAAAGGCAAGCTAAACATGGAAAAACGTCCAGCTATCCTGAGAGATGTTCCAGTCCACTCATGCTGTCTTCATGGGGTGCCATGCGACTCGACAACATGCCTGTGATGGCTGCCCATTTCATGTCAACTTGCGCAAGGTTTTCCTCAAGCACGACCCGTATGTCATTTTGTTGTCCCATCCCATGTGCATACCGTATATCTTTTAATTAAAAGCGCACACCTGAACATTTTGTTTTTTATTAAAAGCGCACTCCTTGCTTGCTGCACAATCGCTGCAATACGCGCATCATATCTCTGCCAGGCTGAGTCCCTCGCATCTCCGGGCATGAAGGTAGGCCGCACAGCCTTATGGCACTCTCTGCTGCAATGCGCCTGACTGAAACACCTGCCAGCCAGCACCTCCCCTCAATCCCCCCCGTTTTCCCCCAACTCCCCCGTCTCCTCTCTCATGCCTCTCCATCGCCCCCCTTCCTTTTTGTGGCATCTGAGCCTTGGTGTTTGGCCACAGGGCCTTCTTGCACTCCCTGCCGCAGTACATCTCACTGCCACTCATGTCCGCACAGCACCTAAGATTGTGCGCAGGTCTCTTTCCCCTCCCTCCTCTCTCCTGCCTCGCCTTTTCCCTGCTTCTTTGGTCAGCACCTAAGCTTGTGCGCACCTCTATCACTACACCTGCCCCCTGCCCTCCTCTCTCAAGCCTCTCCTTTCCCAGGCCCCTTGGGCCGGCATGTGAGCTTGTGGGAGGGCCAAGCAGCCTTCTGGCACGCTTTGCTGCAGTACGCCTCACTGCCACACCGCCTACACATCTTCAGCTCCACGCCATCCCACTCCACACAGCTACACCTCGGCCCCTGGCACACCCGCCTGTACCCTGATTTCAGCCGCTCTGCCCGAGTATCTACACCCGATGCATCTGTCCAGAAAGTGCCTGCCAGGGTTCCGGGTTCTTCGCTTCCCGCTGCTCTGCCCCCTGCTTTGTTCCCTGCTGCTCGCTTCGCCGCTTTCATCTTCCCTGCTGACCCACCTTTTTCCAAATCAACAGCAGCAGCAGCAGCAGCAGAATGGCACCCCTTCCACGGCTCCCCCAGCAGCATTGCTCTCAGGCAGGCCAGCAGGTTCACTCCTCCCACCCACTTCTGCACATAGACCGACCCTTCCTCCTCCTCTTCTCTCTCCTCTTCCTCCTCACTACTCTCACGTTTTGGCCTTCTCCTGCGGCCCATGCACTTACCCCGCAGCTCTCCCATCCAGTTCCTTCTCTCCCCGGGCCACGCAACCTTGGCAGCGTGCCGCCACATCCGAACCTCCTCCCACATCTCACTATCCAACTGTTTCCACTTGCCCACCCCACCCTTCTCCTGCCCCGCGCCCTCCTCCTCTACAAGCCGAGCAAACCTCCCCGGATTCGGCTCCTCCGCATTGGCCCACCTGCCCGCTATTATGGTACAAGCATGCGTGAGCATCGCCATCTCGTTTCCCTCTGCGAGCCCTTCCAGCCACCCTCTCACATGCCTCCAGTTCACCGTCTCCTCATGCCCCGAGGGCATGAAAAGGCCGAGAAGCGTGTACGCCTCTTTGGTTTGGTCGGGCGGGAAGAGGAAGAGGAAGCGGTGGATGAGGGTGGAGATGGGGCGATAGGCGAAAGAGGCGAGCAGGGCGACGCGGTTGATAGCCATGGCATGCTTGAAATGGCACTTCAAGCACCACGTGCATCTGGAAGGCTCTCTGTCTGCTGCAAAGGATTCGAGCAGAAACTCCACGTCTGCCAGCGTGCGAATGACTGGACGGCTCTTCGAAGCTGCTGCTGCCGACGCTGCTGCTGGCAATGCTGCTGCTGTTCTGCCCCTCGCTGGAATTTCCCAGTCCACAGTAACCCCAAACTTCTCTTCAAGGAGCTTCTTATATTCAGTCCTCCCTTGCACGTCATCAGCAAGCTTTATAGCGGCTTCATCGCCAGCAGGCCACTCTTCCCACTCCCAAGAAAATCCCCGCCGAACCAAGGGCTCCGGCACGGTGCCGGACCCGATAAGCATGCTCGGGAGATCCCGGAATGGGTGGCGGAGGACTGGGAGATCCTCTTTTGGCTTGACGCAGGTTCGGAGTGCACATGCCTTCGGAGATTGCAGGTTCGGGCCATAGGATCGGACCCACATGAGAATACAGCTCACCCTCCATGTCAGTACAGCCACGACCGTGTTACTGGTTGCGGTTACCACCTCCCAGCCGTCCTTCACTGTACCTCTCACACCAATCTCAGCTCCACTGCTCTTTCCATCCCCACCTTCCCTCTCTCTTTCTGGACCCATGCCTACTTTCTTCCTGGCAGCCTCAATCGCAGAATTCTCCAGCTTCACTCTGTACTCGTTATTAGCATCCGTGAAGAACATCCGGCAAGCATCCTCGGAGAATTGGGGCTTGGAGAGAATTGTAGCAACGGGAAGGGCGAAACCAGTGGCGTCAATGCCACTCACAAACATGCCCTTGGGAATACCGTTGCTGCTGAAAGCCTTGGAGATGCGTGAATTCAACGAACCATTGGAATCACTGCTGCTGCTAGAAACGGCTTTGGGGGCCGTCATCTCATCCCGTCCTTCATGCACAAGAAGACAAGCCATGCCGCCCACATACCTGTCCCACACAGGACCCTCCAGCCCCTGAATCCACTCCCCACTGCTGCCCGCACCACCATCACCTTGCCCCTCCCGTCTTTCACCCTTTCTCCCAGCCTCCCGCTTCTCCCCATTCCTCCCTGCTGCACCCTCGCTCTCTCTGTGTGCCTCCGCACCACCAGGCAGCAGCAGCATCACATGAGCTTTAAAACCATCGCTTATCTCCTCTCCTCCCTTCATCCCCAGCACCTGCACCAGCACCGTCGCCAAACAATCTTCCTCTTCCTGCCTGTGTGCCCCTAGCTCCTTCCCAATAGCAGCGAAGAGGCCTGTAAGGGAGGCAAGCTGAGCCCTCCATAAAATCACAAAGCGAGGAGAATTCGCTAAAAGCACAAGGAAGGCCCAGAGGGACACATCGCGACGGTAGGAGGCCCAGCAGGTGCTGCAACGCCAGCAGCAGTGCCAGGGGATCGAGGGAGGGTGGGTGGGCGAGGGGAGAGAGGAGGAAGAGGAGGAGGAGGAGGAGGAGGAGGAGGAGGAGGAGGAGGAGGAGGAGGAGGAGGAGGAGGAGGAGGAGGAGGAGGAGGAGGAGGAGGAGGAGGAGGAGGAGGAGGAGGAGGACGTGGCAACATTTGTAGCAGCAACAGCAGGAGCATCTGTGGCAGCGATGATTGCAGGCAGGCGGGATCTGATCCTCCCAAGGTCCATGAGCACGCCCACACGAGGCTCAGCCATCCACTCAAGAAACATCTCCTCGGCACAAAGGTGGGGGGCGCGTTCACACTTGTACCCACCACCGCCTCCTGTTGCTCCCATCTCTGCTGTTCCCTTCCTCTTCCCTGTCCGTACTTTTGCTCCATCTCCTTCTGCGTTATCTCCCGTATCACCTCCCAGGGACCTACCTACTCCCTGCCTGTCTGGTGCTGCCAGGGGAATGGACTTGGGGAGTGGCTGAAGCAAGTGGCGGCGGACGACCTTGACGCTCGAAATGCCAAGAGCCAATTTGCCCTGGGTGCCAAGCACCCGGTGGAAGCAGCAGGCGCAGGGAGGCTCAGAGTTGGACCAACGAGAACTGAATGAGCTGACTCCGGCAGCCTCCTCTTCCTCACTGCTACTCTCGCTCTCCTCCTCCTCCTCCTCTTCCTCACTGCTACCCTCCCTCTCCTCCTCATCGCTGTCACTCTCTCTCTCCCCCTCGCCACTCCCAGTCTCGCTCTCCTCCTCGTCACTGCTGCTCTCTGCCTCCTCCTCGTCGCTGCTATGGCTCATATGATCCCAAATGGAGTAGTCCATGGGGAGACTAGCAGCTGCAGACGGTGCACTGGCTCCAGCACCCATGGCTGCAGGTTCCGTCGCAGTAGCAGAAAGGGGCCGTGCTATAACGAGGTGTTACTGAAACGGGCGCTGATTGTGCCACTAGAAGGAGATGTGCGAACTGGAGGTGATTTTTGCGTCGACTCAACGGTCACGAGCGCCGGTGGTTGCGTTATTAGGAGGAGACGCGCGAGCTTAGCAGCAGCGGGCGCAAACGTGGCACGCTATGGTTGTCAGCCTTGCCGCGATTGATGATAGGATGAAATTGACGAGAAAGAAGCTGACGAACACTTCGTCACAAAATTACTAGCATTGTTGCTCTAGACGTGGGAAACTAAGAAGTCGATATGATTGTATTGCATGGATAATGTACGTGTATCATCGAGCCACCACATAGTCCTTCTTGAGTCTTCTAACCTAAATCGATCGGCCGCGAGACCCGGCAAGAGTCGTAGACTCGCCCTAAATCCTTCGAAACCCTAAAATTACGTGCTGACTGCACGCTCGTCATGCTCTATGCGAGGCCACCGTTCTACTGGCGAGTGACGAAAATGCAAAATGAAATATGTGCACTGAAGTCAGTCGAAATCAGCGAAGTGCTCATCAAGTGCAATGTCGGAGGAACCTACTAACAAGAAGTCTACCAAATATTTACTACTGACATTTGCTAGACTTCTTTTCTTTGTCGTGTGAGTAGTTGCAATCACAGTTTCAATATTGACCTCTGCGAGTCTACGCACTCTCTTAGGTGCTTGCATCACTTCAGACCATTTGAGCATGCACTCTGCAAGCCATGTGGCCAACAGAACAGTATAGAAGAAAACAAATTGGAAACAGAAATTCATGATACGGTATAGCGTCAGCTATAGTCCTCTTCAAACCATAAAAACCCCTTAGAGTAGTCTAATATTATGAAGAACAAGGACGAGGCAAGACAGTGTGAAACAATCAATGCACACCCATGTTCTATCCCACTCACAACCAATCCAACCAATCCCCGAGCCCACTAAAAGCCCATCCTCCATTTCCCACGAGATGGACCCAGGGCAGGAATAAAAGAATCCCACAAAGACGCCTTCCCCTTGCCGCCCTGCTTCTCTGCTCCCCCCGCTCCTACTTGACCCTGCTGCACAATCGACGGTCCTAGGGCCGCGTCCCCTGCGACGCCTTGCGCTGCCGTCTGCTGAACTGGAGGACACGCGTTCTCCTTATCTTTTATGCCGTCACGCTTCTTGCGTGAAGCAACATCAGCATCCTGATCAATGTTCTTCTCCAATAACCCACAGCCCCCTTCATCTCCTTCTCCATCTGCGACAAGCCTGTTCTTTTCGTCCGTATCGTCCTCGTCGTTACTGCACGGATCAAGCGAAGGAAGATCGCTAGCCCTCGCATTCTTCTGACATCCAGGTGGACTCACCAGAGAATGGACGGGCGTTCTCGGGGTCAACGAACCGGAAACCACGGGCGAAATCGCTCCAGTCGCCCCGGCGAACCCGGCGAACGATGTGGTAACCACCGGCTTCCGCCTGGACGCCGCTTTGATCCACGGATGCGCGACGACCTGCGCCATCGAAATCCGCTCGTCCGGATTCACGGACAGCATCGCGCGGATCAGATCCTTAGCTTCCGCCGACACGGTGGACCAGGTTCCGCGCGACAAATCCACGTTTCCGCGGAGAATTTGGCGCATCAGCTGCCGGTCGCCGTGGCCCTGAAACGGCATGGCGCAGGAGAGCATTCCGAAGAGAAGCACGCCGAGCGACCAGACGTCCGCTTTCATGTCGTATTCCTGACCGAGAATCACCTCAGGAGCTTCATACGGCCGGCTGCCGGCAGTTCCGACGGTTTTCTCCCCCGGAGCAAGATGAACCGCCAAGCCGAAATCAGCGAGCTTGGCGAGAACGCGGACGTCTGAAGCGATAGGCTGTTTCGGTAACGGAGCAGGTGGTAAGGCGGAGCAGTAGTAGTACTGAGGGCCGGAGGAGTTGAGAGGGGTGCAGATGAGAACGTTCTCGAGCTTGATGTCGCGATGCATGATGCCGTTTCGGTGGCAAAAATGGAGGGCTTGAGCCACCTGACGGAAAATCAGCACAGCTTTATTTTCCGGCAATCCCCAGGACAGACCGGGACGGTGCTTGCTGCTGCTGCTGCTGCTGGAGTTGTCGTCGCTGGACGACTTTCCTCCGGATTTTGCGAAACTCAAGCCGAAACCGCTACCGCTGCCGCTGCGAGCCTCGGGAATCGTGCTGCCATTGCTGGTGACGTAGGTAAACAAGTCTCCGGCGTCACAGAACTCCATCATGAGATAAATGGCTTCGAGGTCCTCGAAGACGTACTTAAGCTCAATTATATTAGGATGCTTTCCCGCCATAGAATCCAGGAGCGCGACCTCCTGCCGTAAAAAGTGCTGATGGAGAAGCGAGTCCTTAAGAGTTACCTTAAGGACCTTCTTACACGCGTACTGCTCGCCGGTTCGCCCATCCTCGCACAACCACACCGTACCGAACCGGCCTTCACCGATGACCTTGACGAACTTGAGAGCACTCCATGGCGCCTCGGTCGGTCGCCGGAGAAACGAAGCTGACGGGTTCATTTATTGTGACTGGCCTAAAACTATCAGCCGAAGGATAGGGACGGAAACCGAGGGAAGAAACGGAAAGCGGACAACGGGGAAATGCCTGACCTACGAACAACTGGCATGCTGATTCTAGATTTCCTCTGTTCAGTCCGAGTTGAAGATATCAGCTAGGAACATAACTAGTGTCGAAGTCAAAACAGGGTTGTTCGAACAACGTTTTCGTAGCGTCACTACGTTTCTCCTAAAGCTTAACTCGAGTACCAATCTGAGGCAGACACAGAAACGGAGCACGATCAAGCAACTCAGAAAATCACGACAATGAGAACCAGAGAATCAGCAAGTGCGACAAACGGCAGACAGTGGAAGTGGGTGGGCGAGACCTGAAGGGCTGTGAAGGGCGTAGGTGCGGAGAACCTGGATACACCAAGAGCATGTGTGGAAAGAAGGAAACCCTAGCAATGGAACAGGTGGGTTGGTGGTGTGTGTGGCATGGCGGAGGGATTTCCCAGGAATGGGTTTGTCAGAGGGTGACGGTGGTGTGGTGTGTGGTATGGTGCAAGTGAAGCTTGATCCAGACGGGGAGTCAAGTGTGCTGTGTGCTGGACGGTGGATGTTGACAATTATGTTGAATCGATGGTTGGGATGGCGTGGAGGGTGTGGTTTGGGGTGGAGAGTGTGGTTTGGGGTGGAGAGTGTGGCTGGTGGAATGAAGGAGCTGTTCCCGCGCACAGGTTGAACATCTACGCGCGGAAGGGAAGCCTTTCCGCCGCGTGTTCTGGGGGAGGTCAAACAGCCGACGGGGTCGGTCGGGACGGGACTCGGGCGGGAGGAGAGAAAGGGGAAGGGGCAGCAGAGCAGGCAAGGGGGCATGGGGATGAGCTGGCGAGGCAACAGGTTGGGCTCACCAGCCAAAGTAAGGGCGTGTGCACTAGTGTTCGAAAAGATTTGAACTCGGGTGGTAACTCGGTTTAGTGCACCTCGCAAATCACCTTTGCGAGGACGTTTTGAAAAAAAAGTAACACTTTCGGCTTTGACGTGTTCGAATTCTGGATTCCCATCTACACATTCGAACAGCTCTCCGGAGCGCGGTTCGAGCTCCAGCTTGTGCGACGTTGCGACGCTCACGACATGCTGATGTGTCAGGTCTAACCCAATCAGATTTAGTGCGACGATGACGACACCGTACAAAATTGAAGCGCGCGACAACTTGTCCGAACCTTGAAGTTTGTTACTTTTGAGTGTCCAGCGGCGAGAGTGAGTCACGGGTGTTCGAAGTGCAACAATGAGGGCAGTTCGATCTCGAAGTTGGATTTCCACAAATCGAGCACTAGTGCGCACGCCCTAAATTACTTTGCGTGGGTACAAGGAAGACCTTAGGTACTTTTTATTGAAAGACAGGGTAGTCTTACACGATTTTCCTGGGGTGAAAAAACCGAACTCCGCCTTCTACCCCTAGCCAGGGCTGCCGGCAGTATTTACTGTACCAGACAGGTTGTGAAACGCAACGGTAATATTCTAGGTGCTGTTCGAACCAAACCAACCTGAACGAGTTTGCTTCCAGTCCAGACCTCGATCGAAAATTGCACGCGAGTTTCTTGCGCCAAACTCAGGATGCGAACTAATGCAAATGGGACACCAACAAGGGGAGTCAACTTGCGAACTAGCCGCACACGTACAGGATCTGAACTGAAATCAAGTATCCGAGTCTCCGAGAAGAACCACAACGGGGAAATTGAGGTTCTAGACATCTCGGCAGCTGTAATAACGGACAAGTCGATTGCGAGTGGCGTAGCGGGATGTTCGCGGCAGGGCACGGGGCTTCAATCTGATCCATTGTTTCTGAACATCCAATTGCAGATTCCCCTTATGCAAACACTCGTGGGCTCCACCACAGAAAAGTACTCCTTACAGAATCATTAAGACTGTACAGGCAGTACAGGCAGTAAACATCCAGAAAATATTACGTATGATAAGAATATCCATATGACCATTTGTTCTGATTTCACAGTGGACCACCCCCCTCCACAATAAGGACGTGGTGCAGATTGGGGCGATCTGAGGCTGACTGCCTCGATCTACGCAATCCCTAATTTCCGAGAAGGTACAGGGGGTACTTTTGGGCAATCGGGGGGCAATCTGTCAATCGCAATCGAGATTGCGATCGATTGCCTCAATCTGATGCAATCGATTGCGACCGATTGCAATCGATGGATTGGGTATGTTGGCGACTGTGAGCGATCAGTAACCACCAAAACTAATGTCGTTTTTCCTCGCTGATACATAACATCTCGCGACATTCGAACTTTACAGACCGAACCTCTGGACCAAACAACACAATTGGCGATGTCATGGGGCTACCTTGTAATTGCGCGATACGGACGGTCCCTTCGTTTTGCCAACTTGAGCTGGAAGGGACGTACAACTCGCCTGGAAGGCGCGATAAGGGCCCGTGGTAGGATTTTGGGCATCCTGAGCCCTCAGGGCAACTTTTGAAAATTCTCGAGAATGCCCTGATTTTTCAGGGCAAATTTTTATTGCTATCCTGAACTTTCAGGGCACCAACATGAGTTCATCCTGATCTCTCAGGGCAACAAAATCACAAGACATGAGAGAGGTGGAGGGGAAGGCACGATATGACTGGGAAGCCCGGTGCATGCATGGTACGGTACGACGAGGAAGTGGCGAAATCCTCGGGAGGAGACAAAACCAGTACTGTCAAATGTTGTAGTGTTAGTGATGTGTGTTATAGGGGGTACAACTATTAGGGTTAGGTTTATGTACCCCAACCAACCTTAGTCAAACCAACACTTTCATTCTTGACATGGTATCAGCTAGGTTAGGATCCTGTGGGATCCCGTTCTTCTCGTTCACGTCCGTAGCGCCCGAGCCTGTCCCGTACCCTAGTGCCCGTTACGCCCGTACGGTCCCCTAGCGCCTATCGCGCTCGTCTCTCTCGTGCCCTAGCGCCCGCTGCGCTTGCCGTCGCGTCGCCCCTGCTGTCCCGTCCCGTCCTGTCGCCCCTGCTGCCCCTCCCCTCGCAGCAGCCACAGCAGCAGCAGCGGCAGCAGCAGGTTTCGAGGCAGGGGCCAGGACAGCGTCAGCTGCAGCGCGGTGTCGTCCACTCTCCCTGCACCTATCACGTTCTGACAGGTGCCCGCCGCGGCCAGCCTTGTGGCCGCAGCCACCCACCAGGTCAGTGCTTTGCTCAGCTTACTGACACGGTTCGGTTGGCCTACGGCGTTGACGGCCCTGCCCCTGACTAGCTTCCCCTTGTTGAGACGTACGGCCCCGCTCTGTGGGGCATGTCGGCTTCTCAGTTGGTTGATCTCTTAGGAACTCCTCATGCTATGTATGTTGTTGTTGACTCTAGTGCTTCTGACTCTGTTTACTCGAGTGTTGTTAGCTTAGGTGCTAGTCTTGCTGAGGTGCCTGTTGCTAGTGTAGGTACTTGTGTAGACACTAGTCCAGGAGCTGCTCCGGAGGACGCTTCGCTGTCTTTCACTCTGGACTCCGGAGCTTCGCACTATTTCTTCCGCGACCGCACGACACTTACCCCGCTTCCTACGCCGGTCTCTGTAGCACTGGCTGATCCCACTTCGGGACCAGTCACTGCTCGCTACACTACTACGCTTCCGTGCCCGGCTGTTCCCTCCGGTTCTTTTACCGGCATCCACGTCCCTTCGTTCTCGAGGAACTTGGTGGGCGTGAGGCCGCTCGTGAGTCAGCACGTGGGTGTGTGGATTGAGCCTTCTGGCGAGACTACGGTTTGTGTCGACGGGGACACGTACGCGCCTCTCGCCACCTTTACCGCTGAGCCGGGCTCTGGTCTCTACACACTTCACAGTGGCCCCCGAGGGCAGCAGCAGCAGCAGCAGCAGCAGCAGCGGCAGCAGCAGCAGCAGCGGCAGCAGCAGCAGCAGCAGCTATTGCCCCCGACCCCTGTCACTGCCCCCCGTCAGGTTCCCGCGTCTCACCAGGTTGCCGCGTCTCCCCAGGTAGCTGTGTCTGGTCAGGTTCCGGTGTCTGGTCCAGTTGCTGCGTCGTGCTCCTGCCGGTCACTTGCCCACCCCACTGTTTTGTGGCACCACCGGATGGGGCACCCGTCCATTTCTCGCCTGCGCGCTATGTCTAGTCAGCGTCTTGTCTTAGGCCTCCCGCGAGTCTTGCCGTCGCTGCCGACTTCGCTTGCACCACCTTGCGGT